CTCTGACTGGAGTGAGTGAGGATAAGGAGAGAGGAAAGGCATGTTGGGCTAGTGGAATTCCATCTATGTAGAAGAAAATAATAAGAATGAAGAACAATGATAGCATTATCCTCTTTTCTCCTTCCACCATGAAAAGTTTTTACTTCTGACTTTAATGTAACGTTTTTAATCTGGTTATTGAAGCATTCTCACAAAGCACTTGGTGATAACTAACACTGTGTATCTTGGATCTTTTGGACATTTTCCCTATACCCTACTTAAATAAGAAAACTGGATAAATTTTGCTATGTGAAGATTTGGTGACAGTGGCTGCATTTACCTGATGCAAAAGTAGTTGGTTAATGTATTTGAGTCAGTTAAAATTTAGTTGGTTTCATGATAAAATCTCATGTCTTATTTGGTATCACCTAGAGTTTGCAGTGTTTACATATGTAATGTCAAGTGTTGGTGAATTGTGCAACTAGTTAAATATCCTAAATCCTCTGTTGCTGAGAATAAAAAGAGCATTAAGGATTGAAGGTATATTACCCAATAATATAAATAACTACCCTTCACTGGATGTTGATTTTGTGCTAGCATCATAGTACTAAATATGTTATCTTATTCAACTCTACTGCAACTGATTATGGTTGTGTTAGTCATTTGTTTTTCTGGCTTCACATGCCCCTCCCCCCGCTGCCCGATTCTTTATCCTGAGGAACTGACTTCGGAAGTAAAATTTCAGGCCCCCTTGCCTCTGATTTCCTTTTAGATTGTTAATGGGAGATTTGGGTGAGAATGGGGCTGAAGAATAGGGAAGAGCTAGGGCATTTCTTCCCCTCCACCTTTTAGGGTTGCCTCTGGCAGTGGCTGTGTACTCCAAGGGCTCAAGCTCCTGTAGCTCAGCCCCTTTCTCTTTCTGAGGAGTGGGAGTGATTTCTCACTGGTATAAATCTCTGAGATGTCCATCATCTGTTTATTGGGGCTTTTTAATTCTTCTAATACCTTTATAACTAGTTTCCCATTTAAATTCCTCTATTGAACTACCTGTCATGGGTTCTATTTTCCTCTTTGTCTATTTTCTTATCTGATATAAAGGTAAAGACTATCTTCATTGTACGGATAGATAAGTGACTTGTACAAAATTGTACACCTGGTTTAAAAAAGGCTTTCAAACCAGTGTCCCTCCTTTCAAAGCCCAAGTACTTAAACTATGATGTGGTATTCAAATGATATTCCAAATGAATATCCAAATAAACAGTTTTCATTGATCACCTCTTGCTATTACCTAGCTCAAATTGTCTGCACTGTGGCACTAAGTAGCTATTATTATCATTTAATTGTCTATCTCTCCCTATAGCATGTGAGACCCCTTGGGAGTAAGCACGTATGTTATTCATCGTTGTATCCTTAGCATCAACTACTGTGCTTGGAATATAGTAGAGCCTTAATAAATATTTGTGGAATGAATGAATAATAATCACTGCCATTTAAGGAGTGACTTTTATTTCAGCAGCCATGCTAAGGGTCTGTCTTGTGTAAATTTTATAATTCAGTCTTTATACCAATCTTGCAAGATAGGCATAAATATTCCAATGCCTTAGAAAAGTTAAAAAAAAAAAAAAAGGCTCAAAGAGTTCAAGCAACTCACAACTAAACTAGGACTAAACCCGAGCTGACTAGGCTTCGAGGTCTGGCATTTTGACTATATCCATTAATGTGAATTAACAAATAAATGGGGAAAAAGTCTAAATATTTTATTACATTTTGGAACTTTATAAGCTGATTAAAAACCCCTTTCTCTGTGAGAAAAAAAACAGTTCAGTATTTACTTGTCATAATTAAATGAAGGAACATGTTTTTTGTATCCAAAACTATATGTGTACAGGGAAAAGGAAGAGAAGAACTGGGATAATAATTTTTAAGAAATGAAATGGTTTGAATTGCTAGTGTGGAAAACATTGGCTACTCTCATAATCATCTAATCAAACTCTAGCATTCCTTGGCATGGGATGTAACACTGAGGATATTCACAACTAGTTCACCTAAAGATTTGGGAAGTCAACTTTCAGGTTGGCTTTTCCATGTCTCGTTCTATTACCAGAGTTAGTATGTTATCCAAAGTAACAGGATAGATATTTTTATTGCTGAATTGCTGATCATAGTATTTGCTTGTGTTTCTGTGCATTTCATTCTTTGCTTTGCCTGGTGAAATCATATGTATGGTTCTATGGTTCAGTAAAGTTTCTCTTCTAGTTTTGCCTAAAGTGATACAGTCTTGATACCTCCCCTGAACATAGGAAATAAAATATTATCTATATATGCAAGGCTTATTTGCAGAATCCAATATCTTATTCTTTGATTTCTAATGGAAATGAATCAACAGAAGTAAAATAATTTGGTAGGCACTATACAAAGAGTCATTGTTGGTTCTACATGTGCTTCATTGGCACATAGTTACTTGGTTTGGTATTGGTTGAATTATTTCAGCTGGATTTCATTCCAAGAGGCCATTCTTTTCTAGGAGCCATTTGAAACTTCTGGTAAAAGACGATTTTCATAGATTGCTGATGGTATGACTCTCTCTCTCTTTTTTTTTTTTCCCAGAGAAAGGATGTTCTCCTAAGTCTTCTTCATGTATGTACTACTAGTTTTGCATGATAAAATAAAACTTTTATTTTGTTAATTTAATAGTATAATGTAAAATTAAATGTATGTATTTTCCCAGGTGATCTATAGCAATAAAAAACTATATCTATATACTTAACACTGGGGAAAGAGCACAAACAAGGGGGTTGTTTTGTAAAAAAACTGTATTCTTTTGTGATTGAGACGTGTCATTAAGGCTGACAACTAAGGAGTGTCAAAAACCTGAGCGTTGCTATTCAGTGGGTATAGAGTTCTAGAGTCCTGCTATCCAAAAATGTACATATAGTTAACAATTCCGTAATGCACTTTTACTACAATTAAAAACAAAACAAAACAAAACAAAAAACCCAGAGTTGTGTCCAGTAGTCATGGAAGAAACTCTACTACATTTTTGTGAGAATGTACACTACTCTCCTTCAAATACTGAGGAGTTAGAGAAATAAAATGATTCTCTTCTTAATAAAACTTCAGCAAGTCATTTTCATTAGCAGTGATGATTGATGAGGATTTATACTGTGGCGCTGTGATTCCAGGGACAGAAGTCACTGTGTAAACAACACCGTGCTAACAACAGGGGACTGTTTACATGGCTGGCACTTGTCAGGGACTGCCGGCCGCAAGGAGCAAAGAAACAATGTGTGCCTTCCTTGATTTGGGGCAAAAATGTTCAAAGTGACATTAACTATTGGATTTTGTAAATTTTATTTAAAAACATAATAGATTTTCTTCAGTCAGTACTTTATTTTCCTCCATTAAAATTTAAGGAATGTGTCTGAAAAGCTAAAATGTTTTCACTGTATAAACTGGCAAATTAGGAAATGTTTAGTGTTAACTGAATCACATTTAATTCATTCCAAGTGCTCAGTTTCAAACACTACTTCCTAACTTAGAAGAGACAATTATTTACAAAACTTCTCTCAAGATAATAAACACAGTTTGAAATAAATCTTTGAGACATGGTTATATAATATGCTCAGCATAGTTACATAGTATCATAATGCATAGAAGAAATGACAGAATTCCCCCATGTGGTGATTTTCTGAGTCACTCCTCTACCTTCTATGTCCCCTGGCCAAATAGGAAAAATAAGCATTTAGAAAACCTTTAGCCACTAAAAAGAGTGAAGACAACTTCAGCATGGAAGAGGAATAAGTTTTCTCTCTTTTATTGTTTGGGTGACTATATTGAGCTCAGATATTGGCAAGGAGGGATAGAAAAAAAAAAAGAAAGAGGAGCGGGATTAGGTTCTAAATCATGAGAAGGGAGACATGAAGGCAGTTGAGAGGTTTATAATAAAAGCAAATGTATTACAGATGAGGACCAAAAAATAACAGTTCCCATTCTTTTGAAAAATCACCCCATTCTATTGGTTTTTCTAAAACTAGTGCACTTGCATTATAGTTCAGATGATTTAGCATTTTATGTGATGGCTGCAGCATGAATTTGTCCATACGGCCATTTAGAATTGCCAAAAGTGTCTTTAACGATTTTCATCCATGACCTATAATTTTCACCTCTTACATACCGATCAGTTTGTATTTGATCGTACACTGTTTAATTCTCTTTCAATGTGTTTTAGTTAAAAGTTTTAATAAAAATTTCCAAATAAAAATATAGATTCCTTGGGATCTGAGTTCAAGTACTTTTCAGAGAGCCTTACCCTTCTCTAACTAGTTTATATTGTCTATAGGAGAGCTTGTCTGTCTTGTTCACTTCTGAAACCTGTGCTTAGCAAAATGACGGGCACCTAGTGTCCTTTCAGTATACAGTTGTAACCACGAGAGAATGAGTAAAGAGAGCAAAGCTCATACATTTTTCAGTGACTATTGCCTTAATGTATGTAGAAGACTGGGATCCAGCAAACTGACAGAGGTAAAGCAGTTGGGTTTTTAAAAGTTAGTGCATTCAAGATCCCTTCTTAAGTGGATATTGTTCAGAAGATTTGAATAAATTAACACTGGAGATACCGTTAATATATCATTCGCACAACTTGAAGTAGATTTACTAGAATAAATATTGTCACAGTGAAACACTTTGGTTTTGGTACAAAATATTGCCCTGGTTTCAAGATACTAAATAGACAAAAGGGGTTAGTAGAATTTAATAGTTTAGGTAATCTTTTTTACATATAAAACTGTGCACCTACATTATATGTGTATATATCTACACACACACACACACACACACACACACACACACACATCTGTATTTATTACCTGTGTAGACATACAGATGTGTACTTATGTGACTGGTCTTTTCCTAAACCTCACATCTTAACTTGCAACTAACTGTAGGATTCTTTTCCAGATCACAGAATTATTTGTTATTTTTACTTAGGCTATTTTCATAATTAAAATTCCATGTCTCCCCAGGTTTCTGTGAATCGGCAGTGCCCCGGAAAGTGTTTCCTTTCTTGAAACTCCAGGGAAGTCTTGGAACACAAAGAACTTCAAGAGGGAGCCTAGCCAAACAGAGATTTTTGAACTTTGGTAGGCTTGCTGAAGACTTTTAGCACAAACACATATCAAAGTGTGTGTGTTTTAAAAGCATCATTTTCATGTAAGTCCAAGAAGTTTACTTTGGTTCTATTTATTTTGGCTAAAGAAATGAAAAATTTTATTTTAACCACGTGGTTTTTATTTTACAAAAGGACGTTAAGAAAGAATTCCTTTAATCTCACTAAAGAGTAGACAAAGTTATTTGATGTAACTTTTTCGATAAGAAATTAACAGCTAAATCTTCTTTAATGTCATTATTTTCTAGATCTGAATCAAAAGCTTCCCAGGTATTTTTGTAATACAATGGATTCTGATTATGTTATTCAGATTCAGTATTTTCTTCAAAAGAATGACGACTTATGATTTTGTCAGTAATTTAATAGATTTTTTCTTTTAAAAATGATAGAACTAAGAAATATCAAGATTTAAATCATAAATACTTTAGAATACTCAGAAGAGCAACATGGGAGAAACTGAGAAAATTGAAACCCATAGAACGAGATGTATTTCCAAGTTTAAGGTATGAAAATATTTTATGTGTGTGTGGATATATGTGTATGTACTGTGTTTTTTAAAACTTAGACCTTATAAGGTTGCTCATATGTTCATGAAGCGATCTAATATTAATGTCCTACTACCTGAGATATTGATCCTTTCTTGCTTTAATGAAGTTGGTTTTATAACTGAGGATGTGTTCAAATAGGTTATTAATTCAGAAAATTTAATCAGAAATGGTTCTGAGGGACTTAAATGCTTCAACGACAAGATCTTAAATTTTTTCATGCACATGTTATGTTACAGCAGGACTTATTTTCCTGGATCAAAGGCCAATTTAATGTTTACCCCAGAGGCTTCTAGGCCAGAGGAGTGTAGAGATCTCTTCCAGAAAATGGTTCCTTAGACAGTAATTACTTTACAATAATTCATTAAAAAAAAAAATTTACTTCAAGCTTTGGCACATGTTAGTTATTCTCTATAAGAAAAAAAATGCCCATTTTGTTAGCCATTTCTGGTATTCTTGACTATTTAAGAGCAAATTCTTTTTGCATAGCTTCAAAGCCATTTTGGCTTCAAACAAAATTTGTTATTTTAAACCAAAGGATCTTTATCTTTATTCTATAGCTAGTGCCTGCAAGTGGTTTCCAAACTAAGACACTGCCACCAATTTTCTCCCTATCTAAAATTTATTTCTTTGTACATGTGTGGGGAAAATCTACTCATGTACATGAAAGTAGAGAATTGTAGTATAGATCTAGAAAACTACTTTTGCCTGAAGTGCCATGTTAATTGTATTTTTTAAATTTCCCCTTAAATTTTCCCTCAATTCTTATGTTCTTCTCCTAATATTGAATGGCTAAAAATATTTAGCTGAGGCATCACTTCTGAGTTCAACGGCTTACTTGCTGTGACACCATAGGCAAGTTGCTTAACCTCTTTGTGCTTCAGTTTTCTCATTTGAAAAGGGTAGTAAAATATTCCTATCTCATAGGATTGTTCCCTTTTTACGTGCTTAGAATAATGGCTGGAATATTGTAAACATTTAGTAAATATTAGCTATTATTATTGATAGCATTTGTGTATAAAAGTCAAGTCAGGTGTTATTTAGAAACAGTGATCTTTAATTTTTGATTACTTTGGAGTTTGGCAAGATTAAACATTGATCTGAATGTCAAGGCAAAATATTGTAAGCACAAGTTTATCAGGGAAAAGTGAGAGGCAATTACTCAATAATCAGATTTTTAGACATTTACTCTGAACTTAGAAATGTGCTCAGTGAGTAAAATTCTTTAGAAAGCATCAAAAGACTGCACTCAATACATTCACTTCAAATTTTGGAGCGTTATTGTTAAAAGCTAGTAGGCTTTTATAGATATAGAAGTTATTTTGCATGAATAGAAATTGCCTAGCAGATAGGAGGAGATACACGTATGCATGAGCCAGAACGGCCACTGATTGCTTTCACTTCATGAATAGAACCCAATAGCTTCAGCCCCAAACAGGTGTTTTAGGAAAAGAACACTGGGATTGTTGTTCTCTAGTTTCCTTTCTTAAAATGTTAAATAAATAAATTATTCTCTCAAATACAATTTATACTTTATTTGGTAGACCTTGCTTATAAATATGAAACCTGAATCATAAAATCACTTGAAAACTGTTTACTCTCAATAATGTGCTCTGCGAAAATTTATAGTGTGAAGAGCGACAGAGTTTATACAAATGATATTTACTCTAAAGGATAAATAACTAGAGATATAGCCATACTATTTCATCAGCCGTATAAGAATTTGACTAATATTGAGTTTGATGTTTTAATTTCACAGGTCTTTTTCACATAAAATTCTATTCAGATTTCCCTAAATGAATTACTACAGCTAACTCTAGGCTTTGGTATATTTAATCCTATTTCATTTCATCTTACATTCAGTTTACTTTCAGCTCTGACCAGTTTTTCAAGACGTTTTTGAATTCTTATTTTGTCATTAATCCTATACATTTGTATTGAGTGTCTACTACTTATCAAGCACTTACTACATACCAAAGATACAAGGTGAATAGTATATGGTTCCTATACTTGAACTGCTCACAGTATAGTGGGGGAGGACATTGTAGGCATCCAAATACATAAATAAACTGCACTGTGATAAGGGCTGCAATAGAGAAAGGCACAGTAGGGTGGGAAGATAAGAAGTGAGTGAGTGGTCAAGGCTACCGAGAGAGCAGAGAGACAAGTGATGATAAGAGTTAAATTTTAAAATTTGAGTACAGATTTATATAAGATGCACAAAGGGGGAAAAAAAAGCATTACCAGTGGAAGACCATCCTGTGAAAAACGCTAAGATGTGAAATGGCACAGTGAATTAAAGGAACTAAAAGAACATGATGTTTAGGGGCAAGCAGCCGGAGATGATACTAAGCTATAGATGAGGCATTGTTTGCCATCTAAAAAAGGTAGGATTTTTCTTTATGAGAGGTGACTAAAGAGTTTTAAGAGGTGAAATCACATGTTAACTTATTAAAGAGAACAAAGCTCATACATTGTTCAGTGACTATTGCCTTAATGTATGTAGAACTGGGATTCAGCAAACTTACAGAGCTAAAGTAGTTAGGTTTTTATAAGTTAGTGCATTCGGGATCCCTTGGTAATCATTAATTCTGACAGATATTTACTAAGTTCAAAATTATTGGTGGTGGCAGGTGGAAGGGAGGTAGAAGGGAGATTAGAGGTGGACAAGACTAGAGGAGACTAAAACATGATTGCAATTGTCCAACTAAACTGTGTATACATTTAAGAGATTTCAGCATATGAGTGACAGTTAAAGTCATGGGAATAAGTGAGGTTTTCTAGAGAGAGCATATAAAGCAAAAAGAGTACAGGGTATCAGACAAAAGCCTGAAGGAGTTAGCCAAAGAAGATATGACTGAATAAGATCTAGCTGGTAAGAGGAGAAATAAATATGCATAGGAGGAGAGAATTTCAGAAATAAAAGAGAGATTAATGGTGTCGAATGACCCAGAGAATCAAATAAGCTGATGACTAAGATGTATCTATGGAATTTGGAAATCAGGAAGTTCTTTATGACCTTTTATGGAGTAGCTTCAGGAGAAGCCAAACTAAAGCATAAATGATAGGTTAAATAGTCTAGACAAAGAATCTAGACTGTTCTTCCAAACATCTTGATGGCAGCTATTTTAGCTATTTTAGCTACCATCAAGGGTGAGAGACTGTACACACACACACACACACACACACACACACACACACACACACACACACACAAATATATTGAATATATTTATAAGATAGTAGAGACAGAGGCAGTAAATAGTGTGAGGCTGAAAATAGAGAAAGAAGGCAATAATTGATGAATCAGGATCTCAGAAATGGGAAGAATGAATTCAAGGGCATGGGTGGAAGTATTTTATTATACAAGAGGATGAGTACCTATTCTTCTAAGATGGGAAGGAAATTAAAGGGGCAGGGATAGAGGTAAGTTTGAAGGTGAAGTTGCTGAGATCATTAGCTGGTCATAAAGAGCAGATGGCTGGGTTGGAGACTTAGAAAATGATGTGAATAATATTGAAAGGAATGTACAAGTTGCAACATTAATTGTGGGATTGGTTCAAGATTGGGAATGTGGAAGGTGGTAGGCTAAGGATTTTAGGGATTTGAGTGTGCTGGATGGATCTGAGTGGACTGAATGGTCTCCCGGGATGGAAGTGTCACCAGGAACTATCTTTAAATAGGACCAAGAAAAACACCCCTATGGCGTAGGTTTGGAGACCACCACCATTAGGATTGACCTAAATTTATTTATCCCAAATTTGTTGATTTTGAAGCAGTAAATAATCCACCTAACTATACTGCGGCCCAGTATGCAATGCTCCTTTTTCAAATCCCTTGCTAAATTCTAAATCTTTTTCTTTCCAATTTAATATAACTATCAAAATTTTAACTTCTCAGATATTTAGTAAAACTGTACTAGCTCCTGGCTATCACAATGGTTCTATTTGTTAAGTTGTTCTCGATTTTTGTTACAGATTTCATTAACCTGGCTGCTCTCTGGAACTTTATCAATATATAGGAAATATGATTCAATATATGGAAATTTATTATATTCATATTTGTTTATCATAGCAAGTACCTGTTTAGTTTATAAATATTTTTTTATAATTACAATGTTGCTTTAAATAAATTAACTGGCAGTGAACAGTAATCTAATGTATAATTTGCATATTACTTTGGATAAGGAAGACCTTGAGCAAATTTGCTGCAGAAAAAAATGTCTTTGTGTAATACTATTTTACTTTTTTCATTAACATATATGTATTATTTTATTCTACAGATAGCATTGTAGTGCTGAAGATCTGTGTAAATCATGAGCCATATCTTATTTAAAATGACTAATTGTTTCTATGTATGTACCAGATGCGCTTATGAAATAAAGAGACTACAACTACATACAATATTCAATATCACTAATTAATTAGTCTTATGTTGAGTTTCCAAAGAAAGAACATGGTATGAAAGACCAAAAGAATAAACCACATTAAAAGTTTCTTGCAAAATCAAAAGTTACTTAAGTTGAACACAATCAGTCTGTGGTAGAAGATATTTCGTCAACAGGTGGCAAACATACAATTTAAAAATGTTTTTCATATGTTTTCTTATATTTTTTTCTCCCTAGATATTTCTGCTAGCAATAATACTTGCATTTGTATCCAAAACACTGTCTGGATCTTATATAAATTCTATGCTCACACAAATAGAAAGACAGTTCAACATCCCGACATCACTAGTTGGATTGATTAGTGGGAGCTTTGAGATTGGTAATGAATTATTTCTGCATTACTCCCTTTTATATTTTATTTTATCTATAAAGCTAGTCTGAATTTTATTCTTATTTATTGCTCTAGACCATTTAATCTTACTGAATAATACGTTTTCTGAAAAAGAGTGACTCTTTTAGCTAATTTTGGAATAAGCTTCAAAACAATTCATTTAAATATTACTTCTAAATAACACCTAAATATTGCCATATATTCCACCACTTTAAATAAATTTATTCTAATAGTTTTTTGTTGTTATCTAGCATAAGTAATTGAGTATTTAGACTTTTTACATTTAATCTATCATTTGATAACTCCTAAGAGCTCCATCTTCATACTTAGAAGATATCATGGAAAACAAAGAAATGCGTTTTCTAAAGGGAAAAGCAAATTATTTTCTTGTCCTGTTGTTTCTGTGAGGTTGACAATTCTTTCTAAGTGCAGAGGAAAGAGGAAACTCCTTTTATATCTCTCTGAATTTATTTCAGAAACAGTCTTTAGGGAAGAATCAAGTTTACTCTTAGGCTTTGATTTTTGTGGATGACTGGTAAGTTATGAGGACAGAGAGGGAAAATGACAGAGGGAAAGATTTCTCCTGTGAACACTCTACATAGAAATATGAAAGCCTTTATAGTTTTATCATGGCTTCTATCTCCTTCAGAGTAAAAGTTGCCTTTAATCAATATCTGAAAGAAAAATCACAATTGAGGAGAAGCAAAGCTGAAACAGATGATACTTGATCTTGTCTCTTAGGGTGCCCCTCCCTGAACCACCTGTGTGCTAGAATCTGGTCATGAAGTTAGAAATAACTCCTTATATATAGTCTTGCATAGGCTCAGCTCACAGTCTAATGGAGGGCACAGATGTAAAAGAATAATTTTAATTGAATGCAGTAAGTTTGGCGACATAAGTATATGCAAAGTCCTTTAGCAATACAGAGTGGGGACACAAACTCACTTAGGGAAGGTAGGCTCTTGACGGATGAGTAAAAGTTTTTCAGATGAAGAAACAGGGTTAAATAAGTGTGAAGGGAATTCCAACAGAAGAAGCATAGTATAGAGATAGCATGGTAGCTTGTGTGGGGAGCAACATTCAGCCCAATATTATTGACTGGCAAAGGTTAAGGTAGAATTAGTAAGATGTTAGTTTGGAGAAATAGGCTATGGTTAGCCTTGTGTACTTGCTATGCGACTTATCTTATCCTCTAGATAATGGAGAGTCACTAAAACATTAGCAGAGGTTATTAATATTTCTGTACCGAGGACTCTTTGGCATCTGATGCCATGGAATAATATTTGAATTCCACAAAATAAGAATTATAAAGGTACAAAGGAAGCCAATTATATTGAAATAAAATTATCAAAGTATAAAAATAACTTGTTACATAGTAATATTTGTGCTTACCAACACATTAAATACAACAATTACACTAATTTTGAAGTAATGATTAGTGTGCATAATATTTTGAGGTATCCGCAACAATTGTAATGTCATATGCAAATATTTGTAACTTCTATTGGTGGCAATCTGTGACAAAAGCATAGGTACCATCAATACTACTATAGTCTGTGCCTCCTTTCACCATCAAAGGAAATGTTAATATTTAGTTAAGTTAGTGAAAATAAAGATACAATTTTTTCCTCATTCGCATTCATGGAAACCCTAATTTCTATCCATGGATTCCTTGGGGATTTATAGACTGCAGGTTAAGAATTCCTGTTTAAAGCAAATGTCGGATTTGCAGGTGGCCAACCAGACTAGGACAGAAAGGATCCTAGGAGGCCATGAAAAAGCACAAGGGAAAGCTATTGGCCTGAGTCAGGATCACACTGGTAGAAATAAAGAGAAGACAATGACCTAAGAAATATTTAGGAGTTAAATTCCAGAGAACATAGGGATAGATGGGATATGGTGGATGAAAGAGCGTGTCCCTTGGTTTACAACTTGGGCAATAATGTGGATAGCTGTGCTAAGACAGAGAACAGGAGAAGGGGAACAAGATTATGGTGGTGGCTATGGGGACGATGATTTTGTTTAGGTGAATTGTTTGTGGTAGTACCAAGGAGACCTTTGGGTAGGAATGTTCACGTTGCAATTATATGAGTCTGAAGCATTGGGAAACTGTCTGGACTGGAACTATTGATTAGTGAATACATAGGTGGTTCTTAAAACTAGAGAAGAGATGAGGCTATTCAAGAAGAGGATATAGAATGATAAATACAACAGAGAAGGAATGGATCTCAGAGGCACACCAATGTTTAAGGAACAGGTAGAAAAAGAGCCCATGGAACTGTTAAGAGAGGGAATAGTCAGATAATTGAGAGAGGAAACAGGAGATAATTGTATTATAGATGCAAAGGAAGTAGAAATTTCCAAAAGAAAACTAATTGTCAACTATATCAAAAGCATTAGAAATACCTAATTGGATAAGGATAGAAGAGTATTCCCTAGGTTTTACAATAAGGAAATAACTTATTATCTTAGCCAGGGCACTTTCAGCTGAACAGTGGATTTAGAATTTAGAAAGCAGGGAGAGGAGAGCAGTGACTTTAGGAGAGAATGGGAGGGGACCAATGGTGAAATCTATGAATACAGATGAATGTTTGGAGGGAAACTATAGGATATCTGTAACAAAAGTGTAATAGAGAGAATTGAGGTTTAAAATACAAGAAAATAATTTTTATTGGATTAAGTTTCTGGAGAGAATGAAAGTGCCCAGGCAGTGTGTTTGACCTTGGATGTTCAGATGGTACCACAAACCTCTGAAATTAAAGGAAGGCGGTAAGGCCATAGGGTGGAAAACTCAGATATATTCATGTTTAATTGTCCCTAATTTCTTAACAAATATTAACTGTGGAAAGTGAGTGGCGATAGGTGGCTTGAGGAGAATGATGTAGATCTAAAATAGTTTTTGAAGGGAAATGGAGAGGTAATCTACAGAAACCAATAAAAGTATCACTTCCTTACCTTTCCTCAGTAATATTTACAGACAACATTCTCTATACCCTTGACAAAAACGTTATCTATATTTTCCCGTTCCCTTTCATGGTGATTATTTTACTGACAGAGCAAGGCAATTTGAAAGATGAACTCGCCTTTATGTGAGGAGAGAAATTACCTTCTTTTTTTTCTTTCAAAAATAGATGTGGATTTCAAACAGTGGCCTTCAAGAGACAATACCTTCAACATGGATAGTTTTGATAATAGAGATTTAATTAATTAATTAATTAGTTTGTCTAAAGCATAATTGACATACAATATTATTTTAGTTTCAGGTGTACAACATAATGATTCGACTTTTAAATACACTATGCAGTGATCACCACAATAAGTCTAGTTACCAGATGATGGGGATTTTAGAAACCTAGAGAGGTCAGTGTGGTTGCTATGGCTATAGATGTGGAGCATTCTCAATAGAAAATAACACAGGGGCTAATGTCTCCTCTACTTAAAAGGAAGACTAGAAAGAAACGTTTGCAACAACACTGAGAAAATTAACTTCTTCAGGAAGAGTTAAAAATTTTTATAATTTTTAAATGACTTTCCTTATACATAGTAGGATCAAGGTGAATATTGATTATTGAATTAAAATGTATAATTTGAGAACTTATATGTTTGACTCTTTCAACCCTTTACTCCATACTTATCAAGTGCTTGTCCATAATAATGGGGCTTCCCAATTAGTTTCTTTATCCTAAATCTTTATCCTAAGCATGCAGGTAAATTTTTTATTGAGTTATTTACTCCTCAAATCCAGACTTACTTCTAAGACCACTTAGAAAAATGAAGAATCCACTATTTCTTACTTCTAAGGAAAGAAGTAGAAATAAACATAAATCTCTGGCTTGGTCATGTTGACCAGTACAAAGTTATATTTGATTCATAAATTATAAAACATTTATCTATCTGAATTTGACTTTTGCTTCTCTTTTTAAGCATAGGAAAGCATTACAATATTCTGTAGAGCAGCATGGAGGGAGAGGCCAGAGGTGACACACAATCTGACACCAACTTTTGCATTCTATTTCCTAAGGCTAGACAATCATAAATACAACCTTTAAGATTTCTCAGAACCATTCTTTAATTCCTCCCACTAGCTTCTCTTTCTCTGCTCTCTTTAACTGTCTGTGTTCCATAGAGATCTGTTACTGTATCTGCCAACATTGTGAAATAGCCCTCCTTCAGGGCAGAGTTTGTGTCATATTCATTTATTGTTTTATGACTCCCTAGCACCAATCCCAATATTTGAGATAGTGTTTGTACAATAAATGCTAAATGGTAAATGATTGAATGAGGTTGTTAATTAAAACGTTATTCATACTTATGTAAATATTTATTTTTATCTCATTTTTTTTCCAGGAAACCTTTTTTTGATTATATTTGTGAGTTATTTTGGAACCAAGTTGCATAGACCTATAATGATTGGTGTTGGATGTGTGGTTATGGGCATAGGGTGTTTCTTACAATCTCTACCTCATTTCCTCATGGACCGGTAAGTATTCAGTCTCTGATGACTTTTTAGGTTCAATTTCAACTGCAAGAAATGAAGCTTGGAATTTTTGTCCAGGAACAATACTTCCTAAGAGTACAGAGCACTGTTATGGGAACCAGAAAATGTAGATTCTGTTCTAATGGTCTTTGTGCTCTTGGCTTCCTCACCTTCACTTATATAGTCATGTAATTTTTTCAATTTATAAAATAGAGATTTGGGACATCTCTTTTATGGAGTCGAGTCTGGTTGTTCCCCCTCACTCCCATCCCAATGGCACAGAATGGCCATAACTTGTGTTATCTTAGGGAGGGATTCGCTAATCTTTTGCCTGGGAGGTGGAAGCTTGGTCACCAACCAGGTGGGAACGGGAATCTCACTTTTCCATGCGTACATTTTTTTCACCTAATATACCCCGTTGTAAGTATGGCCTCCCTATCCTGAGTGTGCCTGTTTGAACTCTCTAATGTCAAAGACCATTTTCAGTTGGAATAGCAAATGATGTCTATTAGGGTCTAACTGTTCCTTATACATACTTTAAGCCAGTCCTCTTGTTTTTTGAACCATGCCTACTCTGGCATTTAGAAATGTCTTACATTTTGCCCAAAACTTTCCAGAGGTCTGTGGCACCTATTTGTTTTCTCCCCTGCAGGTACTTACTTATGGTTGCATTTCTCATATCTACTAATTCAGTGACTACTCACTTACCAGTTTCCCATTTTCAAAATCTTATTAAACTCTCTCTTCTCATCAAATCTTTCATTCTCGTTATCCTCGTGGCATTATGCTCTTTCTTTTTCCATTTTAAAATCTATCGATTGTCACTTTGCTGATGTTTCAGGAATGAATGGACTTTGAATGAGTTATTAGATTTTAAGTGGATAAGTTAAGTGGAAAAGATATCTTATTGTCTCAGGTTATTTCTGAAGGGATCAGAAGTTTCCAGGCATAGAGTTTTTACTCTCTTTCTATTTTCTGTCCTATCCAAGACAATGTCGAGTAATATTCAGCTAGTATTTACATTTCTTTCTACCCCCTGCTAAAAGTGTTATTTCTTTGTCTGAAGCTGGCATATCTATTAGGATCGTGAGTATGGAGACAGAAGCTTTTGTCCACTGTTAACAGCCAAACACTATAGGTCTGACTGAGCAATTGTTCTAAGGGAAGGTATTTTAACACTCTGGTTCATTTGGAACTCAGAGGGCAAGTTTTCTTTTGGCTTATTCTTATCTAATAGAAATATAGAAATGAATCCAACAGAAAAACTTTGCTGGACATATTTTCTTCCACTGTTGCTTAAGTTAGAATAATTTACTTTCTGGGAAAAGGTATGTAAATCTTGTGGTAATTCGCCTAAGGTAAATGGTCATAGTCTATTAATCCTTTGTTCTTATGAGAAGAGAAAGTCTTTTCATTGTGCTGTCACAGTGTTTGAGGTTCTCCTTTGGTTTTTCATTATAATAGGCAAATGTTTTATTTCTCTTAGGGGTTAATGAACACACGCAGGAATTATTGTTTGGATTCTCAGAAAGTAGAGATATATTTCTTCTGAACAAACCTCATTGAATCCAAAGTTGGAGACCTGTTTTGTTGTGTCGTTTTTCTCCCAAAGCCTTTATCTTCTTAATTATACTTTATTGAGTCTATTATTTTTTTTAGCTTTTGTTCCTCATTCTACAGTAATTATTTCCAGAAAACGATCACCTAAAAACCACAAAAAGTTGATATTAAATAATCTAAAAGGTAGATATTTCACATGCAGGTAATAAAAAGCTAGCTGTCAAGGAATTGCACATTTACAATGAGTGGCAAGTTTTTTTTGATGATATTAATTTGCAATTATTAAGTGGCAAAGATGAAAAAACTTCTTTACTGCATTTGGATGGTACATCGTAAGTGAAGCAAGAAGTAACCTATATAATGTTCACATTGTCTTCATTAGTTTCTTAACATAGCCATGCTTTTCCTGTGTTCCTACAGATATGAATATGAATCTATCATTTTGGGCAATTCATCCTCAAACGGTTTCTTGTGTAAGGAAAATGAAACCCAGATTTTCAGACCAACAGAAGATCCATCAGGTTGTTACTTCGTTTTATTGTTTTCTGTTCAATGAATTTGTAACTGAATATGTTCCACTGAGGGGTTTTGAATGAGTTATTGGGTTTGATTAAGTGAATAAGGTAAATGGACGAAATATATTTTCTTTTTTGGGGGACTTTGGAGGTTATCCTGGAGGGGAATAGAAATGGCTAATAATAGAGAATGCTATTCGTTTTTATTTGAATATACTTATTAAGACTACTTTGTCCATTCTTTAAAATGGCTATTTAAAAGTAAGTCAGACATCCATCCAAGGACCACTGCAGAGTTAATTCCACAGAGGAAGACATCTTAGAGAAATTTTCACAGATATTTTGGTTTATACAATTATAAGAAATAGTAAATAAGAAATAGAGATAGAAACAAAGTTCAAAATATTTGTGCTATGTCACTGATTTTCTATAGCAGAGAAAGCAAACAAGCATACTGGAGTTCTGATTTACTCTATTTTCTTTCTGCTAAACTAAGAACTTGTCTTTGTGCCCCATTTCTCCCTCTTTACCAGTGATACTACTTTATAGTCCAAAACAATAGCAGTGTTTGTTCTGGCTTCCTGTAGTTCCAGACACCAACGTGCTAGTCTCTGTTTCTTTGTATGATAGGAGACCTATATAAACTGGTGATACTTATTCTGGAGGTGACCTTGTTGATTTATCTCAGACCAGAACTAGTCTTCCTGTGATGGAGACATTTTTATGCTGGGTTCATATCAGTGGAAGTTACAGTAGTCCCCAAGGCTGGGAATGTCACTGCCAGCGTGAAATCAGAGGGACCCAAAATAGTTTCAAGGAATGTAAAAATAGCTGTCCCAGAAACTCTAAACCAAAGGAACCCCCCAGGAAAACAAAGGAAAACAATAATATCAACAGTGGCCTGTGTTCTCTTGAGCCCGTGACTGACCCAAGTCCTATTTCCTGTGTTTTTCTTTTTTTAAAATCTGTATTGCAGTAGATGAACCCCAAACTTCTCAGTCTGGTGAATCTTCACAAAAGTGCGTTGATTCTTTAATCACCTAATATTTTCAGTTTTGCCTAGAATGGGCCTAGAGTTTGCCTGAGACCTCTAAACATAAATTACTGTATTCACCACAGAAAAAAAAATCTGAGTAACTGGAAATAGAAACTATAATTTTCTGGACTAGGAATAAGTGAGAGACTACACAAAAAAATTTCCAGATCCAGCTATGCTCAGGACCCTCACATCTGTGGGTGGCACCTGGCTAGTTTATAGTAGATAAGAATAAGTTGTTATTCACTTTCCCAAAAAGATGACTCCACAGAATACCCTCCTGGCTTGACAGCCATTTTGGCTTAGAATAGAAATACCAAGTCTTCAGAGATCCTCCTATCTACCTCCATTTTAGCTCTCTTAGGCCCAATCTTTGTTATTTTACAAAGCAGTTGCTGCTCCAAGAATTGGGGTGAATTTCTTTATCAAATGTTATTTGGTGGATATGGTACACAGGTGCTATAGAGAAAATGTGATTACTACCTAGTTCAATATTTTTTTAGTGACTACAAAATAATTAAAGCTGTAGAGAATTCAAACTTCAGTGAGACTCTTATTTAAATCTTATAAATATAATATCAATTCTAGGGAGAGATATTTGTGTGTGTGTTTTTTTTTTCCTCTCCCTAAAGTTAGTATGGAAATGGAGTAGCACTCACAGCAGTTAACTGAGTCAAGTAGTTGCTGGTAAACTGGTTCTCTTGAGGAGAAAAAAGGCTCCAACATTTAGTGTTTGCCAATTTCTATGATGTAAATATTCCCATCAAACTACCAATGTGTTGTCACTAAACACTGAATTGGAAAGAGATGTATATACTACTCATCTCTCCCAACTCAGTAGGAAGTGGATCCAGCATACCACTTACACTTGGCCATACCTAAGCACTCTCAGTAAATGCAAGAGGAATAGACCAATAAGTCATCACTGGCATAGTAATATAAATCATTTACAAGGTGCTATGCCACATGAGAACTGTGAAATACTTACCAAAAACTTAAAATTATAGCTTGTACTTACAGCTTAATATTTTACTATGAAAATACTAATGCAATGTCTTTTTCTTTTAATGCAGACTATGTGAAGAAAGTTAAGTCATTAATGTGGGTGTATGTACTAGTAGGAAATATAATACGTGGAATTGGTGAAACTCCCATCATGCCTTTGGGTATTTCCTACATAGAAGATTTTGCTAAATCTGAAAATTCTCCTTTATATATTGGTGAGTTTGAAAATCTGCTTTAGCTTTTTTTTCAGGATAGTTAAGTTCATTGAGAATGGATATTAGTTATTTATTTGGACTCAGTAATTTCCAGAATGACAAGCAGAGTACCTTGGCACAGTTGGTCATCAATAAAAGTTTGTTGAACCGAGTAATTACACACAATACCAGATAATCCACTTTGCTAAATCTGCTTTTTTGCTGTTGAAAATCTAGTACCCTCCATTTCCTTGGCACCACTCTATATCCAATCTAAAAGGTTTACAATGCCTTCTTTAACATGTCCCTTGTATTTAAAATTTTTCTCACTATTTTTATTATGTCTATTTTTGTTCAGGTTTTCATGACTTTACTTGTAGATTATTATAACTTCTTTGTTGGTCATTTTATTTCTAGTATCTTATTTTATTATTTTCTCATAAACATTCTTGTAGTATAATTTTTCTCAAATATAGTTTTAATTATGTCTTCTCTACTAAGTTAATGAAACATATTGGCTCTTTAATTTACTAAATCGGATCTCCCCACTTACTATTCATTGCTCTGTACTCAATTTATCTAGTTAGTTTTTCATATAGTTTTATTTCATCACCATCTCTCCATACTAGTCAGACTTTTTCATAATTTTCACAAATATCTGTCTTCATTCTTTTGGTTATGCTTCCTGAAAATTTCTTTTCTAAAACCTATCAATGTCACTTCCCAGAATAACCAACTTAAAACACACTATCTTATGTTGTCTTCCAATCTCCTAAATATTCTTAATTTATTATGGATCACTTGCTTATATTCTTTAGTTATTCCATCTGTTGTTTATAAAATTATAACTTTGAGTACAGGGACATTTTGTAATTAATATAGACATATGTTTTAAAAACCAGAAAAGTCAAAAAGAATGAAAGAAGATAGAAACAGAACTATACTTAATCAATATAGATTAAAATATTTAGGAATCATTAGCCCAAATAACTTTTGGCACTATTTGATGACTCACTGATTTCACAATAATCTTTTTCAGTGTTTTTCTATTCAATCCTTTCAGATTCCTTCACATACTTACATTGAAACAATACAAATGCTCGCCTGCAATAAAGTAGGAAACATCTTGTTATAACATATATTTCTTTACAACAAATGATAAGTTGTATAATATATAGAAATAACTGTGATGATCTCTATATTTAGTAAGATGAATGAAACATGGTCCATATAAGGTTTAGTATGTAAATACATAATTACAAATTGATTAAATCTGATAAATACCTGTGTAATTAATTTTTTAAAGTTAAATTCGATTTGAAACATTAAGTAAATAAAAATATGTGTATATAAATAAATTTCTACAAACCGGTTAGCTATACATCAAGAAAACAGTTCCATGTATGATTCTGGAGTTTAGGAGAGAACATAAAAGCTAACAGTTAAGTTTGAGAATCATCTATACAGAGACAATAAATGAAATTAAGAAAGAAGAAGTGAGGTTGCTATGCGAAGCCATATATATATAGTAAGAGGTGCTAGGTTAAAATACGAGGGAACACTTCTACCTAGTAGAGTAAGAGGAAGAAAAATCAAGAACAAAGTAGTCACAGTGGAAACAGTAAAGCAATCAATGTATCATTTTGTGAAAGTCTTAGGAGGGAAATGTCAAAGAGGAGTTGGTCAGCAATGTCAAATAATTAGGAGAGTTAGGAGGATGAGGGCCAGAAAACGACAGTAGATAAGTGGCAAAGAGATCACTGGTGCTACCTGAAATGTTTTTGAGTAAAATATGGAAGGATTTGAATAGAGTGAATGATTGGTGAGAAAGTAGAGGCAGAGTATAGTGAAAGGAAAGAAAACAGGGTGAATTTGAGATACTGTAAATATGAGTGGATGGGGGAGATTGTACAAGAATAAGAAAAGAAGTGTTTGGTTGAGCAAGACCTCGGAAAGAAAGGTGTTAATGTCAATAACTCGTGTGTGCATAGGGTGAACCAATCAGTGAACTTTAGAGACGGCAGAGACAACAAGCAAAAACATATTTTGAAGTAAAAAGAAAGACAGTTAAGAAGCTCATGTCTGGATTTTCAGTGAGCAGGGAGGGCACATTATAGATTCTGAATTGTGGACAAGTTATGAGATAACTGATGATGATATTCCAGATGTGTAAGCAGTTATGAGGACAGAGGGGATTGATTGAAATGGAAAATAAGAATGTGAAGAAGAAGAAAGGAGATTATGATAAAAGTGAAAAGAAGTATCAATAATAGTAAGAAGAAAGCCAGGGAAAGTTTCAAGTTGGAGATTTGGGACCGATCACAGGAAATTTATCAAAACATGATATAGCTTTAGAATTCCTCTAAAAATAACAAAAGAATCTTGTTCTGTATTATACCTTTATTAATAACATGATCCCAGCCTATGCTGCTCCAGCAAAACTTTACCTGTGATCCAGCAAAAGAGAATTTGGAGGCTTAGAGAAAGGGGCTTTTAATTACGAGTCTCCTTCTACAACATTCACAGAAACAAAAGAAACAAATTTGTTACTTATATGTACATTAAGCTTAATTTCCTTACAAATTGAACATCTAAAGCAAAAATAATTCTGTTTTCAGACTCTTCATGGAATTAGAACTCTTTATATGAATAAATAACTATATTATAACTTTATATTTTTCTTTATTTTTAGGGTTTGTAGAAACAGGAGCTATCATTGGTCCTTTGTTTGGACTTCTGTTAGCATCATTCTGTGCAAATGTTTATGTTGACATTGGATTTGTAAACACAGGTAATTCATTAAAATCTAGTTATACAATGTCTAGAGTACATAAAGCAATTTCAAGTATGCGATCACAGTTAATTGGTGCCTTACTTGACCTTCAATTAGCTAAATTAACTATACTTTCCAGGAGTGCAAACTAAAGTGGAGGAGTTCAGATATTTTTTTTTTTTTTTTTAATATTTCAAACAACTGAGCAGGAGTGCGAGATAAAATACTGATCTTCTGACTCAAAATTCAGTGCTCTTTCTACTTCAACGTAACCATATTTCTTGTTTTCAAAAAGCTTAAGCACATAGGCTTTAATTTCTTTTCACCAAGTAATCATTTGTGTATAATTAAATAGTCCTTGTACTTATTTAATAAGTACCTATTTATAAATTCCTTCCATGATAGGACAGATCTCCAAAGTAATTTATTGCTAGACGATATTACATACTACACATTGTCAGACAAGTTTTATAAATGTCTGACTTGTATACAACCGCTATACTTGGATAGAACCTGAGAATAGTAATTTAAATTTTTTTCTATAGTTCGTACAGGAAATAATGTTTATATGTGTATATTTTTTTACAGATGATCTGACCATAACTCCCACTGATATTCGTTGGGTTGGTGCATGGTGGTTTGGCCTTTTGATATGTGCAGGAGTGAATGTGCTCACTGCCATTCCTTTTTTCTTTTTGCCCAAAACACTTACAAAGGAAGGACAAAAGGATAATGCCGACATTAAAAATGACAAAGAAGAGAAACAAATAGAAGAGGTCAAGAAGAAAAATGATGGAATCATTAAAGGCAAATATAAAATTTTTAAATACTATATATTTACTTTTTGTTTTATATAGATATGTCTGTATTTTAGTCTTACACTATAACGTGCTAGAATGCATTAAGACAATTTGTCATTAATAGTCAGCAGTCAATAATGTCTAATTAGTCTGATTCTTCCTATGCTATTATTTGGTAATAAACAATATAATTTGAGAGCTGAATTATCTCAGATCAGAACAAAAGAAAGAAAAATATGCACTAATCCAAATAAGCGTATATTTCTGAAACCAAAAATATTAGCTTAGCTGTGAGTTTCCTAGAAGTTAAAGCAGAAAGAGAAAACATGATGGATCATATAATTTCCTATATTTGATAGAGGGAAGGATAATAGTTCTTAAAGAGAAAATCTTCCCCAAGTAACAAATTCTTAAAAAAGAAAAAGATCGTTATTTGTTGTATGATATAGGTAATATTGAATTACATAGTTGTTTTCTAGCCAACACAGGAGCATATTTCATGAAACAGTTTTGTTGTTGTTGTTGTTTATTTGTCAATAAAAGCTCAAAGTATAATGTACAGAAGGTGCTTCTGGTGGAAACTAAGCTAAGATAGTCTAAGTACTTAGTATTCAAGAATACTGATTCTTAAACTTGACCACATAGAATCACCTGGGAAATTTTAAAAATTATTGATGCCTGGAAATTCTGTAGTATTCTTAAGAGATCTGATTTTATTAATATGAGTATTTAATTAGTATGGTCTGGTCTTTAAAATTCTTAGAGTGTTCATTTAGAAGATAAGAAGTTTCTTTATCTGTAAAATAGAGATAGTAATAATTATAAAGTTGTTGTTTTCAGGCACATATTACTATTATTACTTCCACTAGTATTAGTATTACTGTTGTCGATATTGCTATTTTTAGTAACACCCATAAATTACAATACCAACTTGCACAGAATTTTTATTAACAATTAAAAATTCACTTAAACTACAATTGAACATAATTTAATACTTCTCAAATCATTAAGAGACAATTTAGAATCTTGAAAATTTAGTATGACATATAGAAAAGAATTCGAAGTACTAAAACTCATCTATTAGGAAAGGGATGTCAACGAAATAGGTAACTTAAAATGTTCCAAAGAGCTCCGAACACAACTCTTACACCTGCCAAGTATTTCATTCATAAATACGAATTCTACCACTCATTTTTTTTGCCTGAAGCTATGCTTCTTCCTCTTCCAATTTGCTTTCTTTATTGATACTTTGTTCTAGAATTGATTTTAGGCAGTTTATTAAGCAAAACAGGATAATATACAATAAGCAAGGAACTCGAGACAGAGAACATGAAGGCAGGAATAGTGAAAAAAACTATAAGTTAGACTTTGACACAAAATGGTGGCAGTTTGCTTGAGGTGGGCCACAAATTTGGCTCTGTTTTGTCAGTCCACACCAACAGGGAAAAGTTTGGGGTAAATTATTTACATGGTCCTTAGTATGTACCTAATGAATCAAGATCTCAGGGATTGGGACCTGCGGGTTGGTGTTTTAAAAGCAACCCAGGTAGTTTTAAGTACATTTTGTTGCGAACCATTGGCAGAACCACCAAAACAGTTGTTCTAAACAAGCAGAAAAATACCTGGAACTTGAGGATATTTACATTCCTTGAATTCCCATGAATTCCTTTATTTTAAATGTTCAGGAGTGATAATGTCAATATTTTTTTATGAACTTCTTTATCAAATTGATTTTCTTCTAGACTTTAGAGGTCAGGACAAGCATCTTTCATTTTAGATGATCTCAGGAGAAGTGAAGATATTGATAGAAGGAAGAAGAGAAGGAAAAAAGGAAATGGTGTGAACACAGGCAATATTTTGGTCACATTACAGTTTTTCCTTAAGACATAGTAGTAACTTAGTAAAGCAAGACTATTGTGTCCTGATCCTTGCCCAGTAAGCTGTCACTGACTCGCAGAATCTACCAAAACAATGATATAACTTTAGCTTTCAAGGGGTAAAAAGAATTAACAACATGTGAATTATAAAACAGAAAAACATAATTTAGAGGGGACGTTTCAGAAAAAGCCTATCATAAAATGCAAAATCCAGTTAGTTTGACACTTGTCATTCTTTCATTTCAGATTTTTTACCGTTCATGAAAAGTCTTTTTTCCAACCGAGTTTACATGCTTTTCATACTAGTAAGTGTGATACAATTTAATGCATTTGTTAATATGCTACTCTTCATGCCTAAATATCTGGAACAGCAATATGGAAAATCAACTTCAGACGCAGTCTTTCTAATTGGTATGTTTGCTCTCTGCCATTAGTAGCCCACTTCCCCCCACCCCGCCCCACCTCCACGCCCCGCCCCCTAGAACGGTGAACAGTGTGATGATGGGTCTAGGAAACTCCGAAATGGAAATCTGTTAGAATATTTCTGTCTCTGGTACATTTCCCTCTTCCGTTCTTCAGTGAAATCGACAAAGGGTAGGAAGAGAAGAAAGTCAGGAAATCTTGGTTTTTCTGTTCTCTCTCCAGTAAGAACACAAATTCAAAGTATTTGTGGAAATCTTGGGGAATGAACAAATTAGATACAATTTTCGGTTAGGCAATCCATTAATAAAAAAATGAAGACAGAGTTAATTCATTAGGAGTCAGTGTTTTACTCTCAGATTTTACTATTGGATGAATGAATTCCACTTTCCTCCTTATTTAGTTCCCTGGTCCCCCTGGTGGTTTGAGGTGTCTCTGCAGCCCATACATTCTGATTTTTCCTGTGACCACACGACCCCACCTTTAGTTTGCTTCTCAAGGGATATTTTTACAGTTTTGAGTGAATTTCCTAGACTACCTGCATCCACATTACCTCGAGTGTTTGTTACAAGTTCAGCTACCTGGTGCCCACCTCAGACATGCTAAATCAGACTCTGCTATGGGACTCGAATGGATTTTTCACAAGTTCTCCCAAGAGATTGTGATTCAGTGAGCAAACCCTGGCATATAAGAATGCAACCTAGGGCTGTTTCTTCCTTTTTTTTTTCTTTTCTCGTTTTTGGAGGAAAGAGTAGGGTAGAGAGAGTGCTTGTCAATAGCAGCAGTAAGCAGCAAGATATGAAATGTAAATATACTTGACAATCGGGCTCAGCAGTGATCTAATGTACCTTGAACTGAGTCAAATTCTTAACAACCATAATGGTAATAAACAGCAGCATGATCATATAAATCATATATATATTCATATATATTTTCATATATAGTCATATATATTCATATATATACATATATATTCATATACGTATACATATATATGTATCACCCCAAAGAATGGAAAACAATAAATTACTGGTGAAAAGATATATCAGTCATGATCTCTGCCTACATGAAATTTACAACCTACTGCAATAAATTGAATGATAAGAGCAATCTTCAAAATATACTTTGACATTGAAGGACATTTAAAGATCTCTCTTAATACATGTATATAATATGTGACCAAGTAAGGATAAAACTCTATCACTCTTCTTCACTGTGAATGGGACCAAAATATTTTCTTATGCCAAACATGTTAGGTAAAGGTGATATTATATTTGTTCCTTTGCTAAGTCACATTGTAAATATCATTTTTTTCTTGCATTTATAGGTGTTTACAACTTACCTCCCATATGCATTGGATATATAGTTGGTGGTTTAATTATGCAGAAGTTCAAGATTACTGTCAAACAAGCTGCCCACATAGGATTTTGGTTATCTTTAATTGAATTTCTTATATATTTTTTGCGTTTTCTTATGATCTGTGATAATTCTTCAGTGGCTGGCATAACAACTTCTTATGAAGGGTAAGTTTTTTACTAATGAATGTTATCACTTCGTACAGTTAATAACATATTTTCTCGAGTGATTACCTGTGACTAGACCATTTGCTGATTGGAGTTAATGGTGGAAATCCATAGTCTTTCATCTTTCCTCCTCCTGTCAATTATAACCCAATACATTCAGGCTCTAGGATTATTAAAGAGGCTGGGAACATATCACAGGGTAGTGAGTTTATGATTGTGTGTGTGTTTGTTTTGTGATATCCTAGTAGGTATTAAAGGGGATATCAAAAGAAACGACCTATAGTTTTAGGTTGCATTGGGATATGTCATCCATGTATTTCATACTTCCATAAACGAGTAAAATTAAGAGTTGACTATATAGTCTCAATCGCCTTTATGTTTCCACAATGAGCTTAAATTTACCGTAACTGAATCTTAATATATAATACATTAATTCATATCTTTCATTTGTATAGTTACATCTCCAATATTGAATAGTTTTAGATTTGTATTTTGAGGCTTATCTGGGTTTATAGGAAGGTTGAGTGGTGCTAGAGATCGTGGTCCCGGGTTGAGCAAGGTCACTGTCCACATTCTCTCATTGAGTGAGCCTGTAGGCTATGCTCCTTGATTGGGCAGGGTCACAGGCTACGTTCCCTGACTGAGCAAGGCTGCAGGCTGTGTTCAGCAATTGGATAGGGCGATAGGCTGGGTGCTGATGCAGGGCAGTGTTAGTTGCTTGACAGTATCATAATACTGTAGATTAGGCTCTGCGGCTGCTCAGGATAACTCTTCAAGCTCTCGGTTATGTGGAACCAGAGACTTAACAGTAGAGCAAGGCTGCTATCTTGGCTCCTTGCCTTAGTGGGATGATGGATGAGCTCTATGGCTGCCTAAGTTCTCTGGCTAATCTTCCTACATGTGTGGTCTCAAGATGGCAACATAGGTTGTTCCTGATACATCTTTGTAGAAGAATGTATTTGTTTACTCACATAGTTTTGTTCTGGAGCTACATATATTATCTATATTATATATTAAATTGTAGATTTTGATCTTCAAGTAAGCACTTGAGATTCTTTTCATAAAATATGATCTCTTGTTACTTTCCACCATATGGATCAACCACAGGGATTAGGTCTTTATTTTTGAGTTCTAATATCACCTGAAAAAAAACCTCTCATATGGTAGGCACTCAATTAATGCTTGTTTATTGGCCATTTGTTTCTCTAAATAAATCATTGAAAAAGTGCCTTTTATGCCAGATCTGTAGTGCCCAGGCTACACACTGATGGTTGGAAGATTTCTGTTTTTATTTTGGGGAGGAAAGAATATTGTGAACTGAGATGAAAAAAGAAAGAGAAGATGCTCTAAGGCTTTCAACATCCATGACATTATTTTAAATCATTACAGAACAGCACAAGATTTATATGCTGGAAATGCTATCCTCGCTGACTGCAACATGGATTGTAACTGTCCAACTAAAATATGGGACCCAGTGTGTGGAAGCAATAGTTTGTCATATATGTCAGCTTGCCTTGCTGGTTGTGAGACATTCGTTGGAACAGGAATAAACATGGTACAACAACTTATCGGCCATTTTTTTTTTTTTTTAAACAGAACTTCTCTTTTATGTACTGCATTGGCACTTTTCAACAATGAACTGGGTGCACATTTGAAAAAATGTAAAATTAACCATCTTCCTTAAAACCTAATTAATTTTTTTTGTGTGTGGAAAAAATTAATTACCTTCATATGCTCACTTGATTTACTTTTTTCCCTTAGATTTTATTTTAAACATTCACAGTGTCTGAGCACTGATCTTTAATTCATAGCAGTTGACATTATTACTCAGATAATTTGTTTTAAAAGTACTCAACTGAAATCTTTTTATCAAGGTAAAATTGGCTAATTGTTTTACTGGGGAGTTTTTTGGTCTGTTCATTTGTATTTTTCTGTATTTTACATTCTGGCAGCTTTGTAAAAAGAATGTAAGATGGAATTAGGCAAGTTTTCTTGCCTAAAAAATGTTACAATACTTAAAATGTTGGCTGGTTATCAAAGTAAAATATAAATTTTGATTTGTATTAAAATCTGGAGACATAAAAATTCAAAAAGGGTTGATTTTACTCTGTTTTTGCAATAAACTATATTTTTTAATAAAGCTTTGTTTAAGTACCTAAATATTTCAACTGAGCATTCAGAAACAAATTTTCTTTGTCATCGTGGCAAAACAGTATATATTTTTTAAAAACATGATTTCAGATAGCTGAGCTCTTGCAAATTTACTCCATATATTTAGAGAGAGATATTGTTTTTCTGAAACCATTCTTCTGTGGTTTGTTTTATGGTATGATCCTGAAACTATGAAAGAGATGAGAATAAGGGAATAAACAGTCCCTATCTTTATTCAATTGGGCATGTAAAAATATTTGAGATTTCTGTTCAAATATTTCTTTCTTAAATAGGATAAATGGTTATTTTTTGGACAGGTATTCCAAAATTGTAGCTGTATTCAAACATCAGGAAATTCATCTGCAGTTCTTGGGCTGTGTGGCAAAGGACAGGACTGTTCCATGATGCTCCAGTACTTTTTAATCTTGTCGGTGATCAGCAGTTTCATTTATTCTTTATCTGCCATACCTGGATATATGGTTCTCCTGAGGTACACTAATTGTTTTCTTTATATAGATTCCTTCCTGGTCATTTATTAAGGTGATTTTTTTACAAAGCCGCTTGGCGCACCCGGTACCTAAGAATTCTGTGCTCTAACATACCACTGATTAAGAATGTCACATTAAACATTGTTGAATTTTACAAAATTTTAGAGTTAGTAATATAAATATCTCCATTTGTATCTTTCCGTCCTTATTTCTTAGAGTTAAATTAGTAAAACTCATTGTTTAACACAAGAAGAGATACATTTATATTTTAGGGTAAACCATATGAAATGGTCATTTGGTAGGTAAAGAGTGATTGCCTAGCAGTCATATCCTATAGTCCAACTTACAAGACAACAGAGAGTAAAGCTGTCAGAAGTCCCAGTTTCACCAGCTATCGTCTATCTACAGGGGATTAGGCAGATCACTGGACCTTCTGAGCTCCATTTTTCTTTAAGAAAAAATGGGCATAATAATAAATGCTTCTCTCTCTAATCAGGCTATTTTGAGACATACATGTTGAAAGGTTTAGTAAAACCAGGAAATTGCAAAGGGAATTCAAACTTTGGCATATCGTACATGTGTTCCTTTAATTACAGCATTCTTCATACCTAGTAAATAATTCTAAACATGTCTAGTAAACAAAGTTTACATTTCTTTCTTTTTAAAAATATTTTATTGGAACTCAGAAGCAGTGTTAAACTAATCATAATTCTCAGTCCCATAGCATATTATCATTAGAGATTGGAGCAAGGTTTCTCTCTTGTTTTATTTCCTCTTATTTTTATTTTTGTCCTCTCATTCCCCACTTCCTTTCATCATAGGCACCCACAAATCAAAATTAGCTTCTTAGTTATTAGTGCATTATATAGCTTTACTATATATGGGAACTTTCTATAGGTATCTTTTTATTATTTGTTATTCCATTTTTATGTTCAGAGAACATAATCTGAAAGATGTGAGGTTTTAAGGGAAAATATTGGGGCTTTCTTTGGGGCCTAGTGCATAGTTAATTTTTGTGTGTTCCATGTGTTTCTGGAAAGAATGTATACTTCTGCATTTTGGTTATACAGTTCCCATATCTCTTAGATTGAAGTAAATCATTGCGTTATCTAAATTTTGGGAATCTATAATTGTTTTTTTGTCTACTTAATCCATCAGTTTTTCAGAGATGTTTGTTAAAATCTAAAAATTTCTAATGTCTTTCTCCCTGTAGTTATGTCATTTTTTAATTTATACATTTGGAGGCTATGTTATATTATGCAGATGCGCCTTTGATCACTATACTTCTAAATTATATACCAGCCTATAATTTTCCTCTTGATCTTTTCTACATTTTTTTCTGAGGGAATTTTATTCAATTTCTTTTAAAACTGCTGTTCTGAGTTTCTTTTGGCTCATTGTTGCCCATTATATCTTTTTCCTACCCTTTATTTTTAATCGTCAATCTTCCATTTGTTAGTTCTGATAGTGTAATCTGAGATTGGTGAGTTTAACCTACTTATCGTTATTTTAATTACTGTGATAGGGCTTTTTTTTGCCATTTTATTTCATATATTTTATCTGACCTTCCCTTAGCTGCTGCTTTTTTTTTTTTTTTTTGCTTTCCATTATATGCATTGGATTTGCTGCTTCTGCTTTGAAAACTATATCTTTCAAATGGTTAAACTGATTATTGAAATTCTTAACTATGTTTCTGTTTTTCTGATGAATTTCAAAACTTTTCAGTATTAATATCTACTCCTTAATAAGACAAGTACTTAATCATGCTCTCAGCTCTTTTCGTGTCTCTACTTTTTTCCTTCATCTTTTTCCAAGATTATACTATACGTAGAGTTTAACACCTAGATTTTTATGTATATACTTATGCTTTTCTCCATTTTTGTGGACTCTCCATGAATTTCCTATCATGATGGTAGAGGGCTGCAACATCTATGTTACTCAGCCAGTTTTAAAGAACTATTTGAATTTCTGTCAGCACTTCTTCCATAATTTGCATTTTCATTTTTATTTCTGATTCCTGGATTCTAGAAATTGTTATTATCAATGCCAATTAATTACAGTATTTATAGAACAGTTTAAACTGCTTACAATTTCTTAACTATTAAGATTTATGCTTCTGTGAGATTACAAAGAGAGATATTAGAGATAGAAAAGAGAAAGTCTTTGGTAAAATTTTAATGCCCTATTTTTGTATTAAATGGAAACCACGGGACCAAGAGAGTCATGCTAGGTCTCCTGGATTTTCTTACTTCCTTCAGAGTAAAATCACTGATGTTTTCTAAATAACCTATGTGTTAAACATATAATGCCAAGTTCAACTGTGTCTCAACCTGAGTTTGTAGAGTTATTAGAATCTAGTAAAATATTTGTACCAGGAAAATACCAATGAGATGATGTTTTGTTAAAAATGTATTTCATCTTTTTGTAAATAAAGCTGCTTTTATTTTCTCAGCTTTAAGTTAATCAGGGAAACTCAAAATGAATTCTTTGAGTAGCAGTGCCAATGCCGAAGTGAGTGGGACACAAATTATAGCCTTCATTTCTACTTATAGGCATTTCAGGCAACAGTGGAAAGGTGGGAGAATTTTTAGAGAGAATAGAGAAATCTATGTGACTCTTGAAATTGTACCAAATCACTTAAAATATGTTTGCTTTGGATGTTTTCATCACTTTTCTTTGAAAATTTTTATTCTTGCTGTATTTCTTTCTTAGATTTACTTATGTAAATTCTTGGCATTTCTGTATTTTATTAATATAAATAATTTAAATACAGCTAATTTTGCATTGTTCTTATTTCAGACTGAAGGTTGAACTATTAGAATCAAGAACTACTACTTTAATAAAAGGATAGATATTGATTGATATGAAATATGTTTTCTTTAATAACTTTCTGATAGAAATGAATGAGCAAAAAGTGTTGGGTAATTGCCAATGACCAGAAGTGAGATTCCTGTGTAGATACAAATTTGATAATTAGGTCTTGAATAACCAAGACCTGAGTATGCAAGAAAATTTTGTATTGCTCAATGTTACTAGTACACAAACAGTTCTTTTAAGAAACTATGGCAGTTTTTATTTTTTTTATTTATTTATTTTTTAAAAATGCTTCATTTTTAAAATTTTTGTACTTTTTAAAAATTTCATTCATGTCCCCACACCTCTCCCTTTTGACAACCATCAGCTTGTTCTCTATATCTATGGGTCTCTCTGATTTGATTCATTTGTATTATTTTTTAGATTCCACATATAACTGAAAACATACAGTATTTGTCTTTTTCTGTCTGACTTATTTCACTTAGCATAATACCCTCTAGGGCCATCCATGTTGTCATAAATGGCAAGATTTCATTTTTTTTTTATTGATGAGTAATATTCCATTGTTGTGGTAGTTTTTAATCTCTATTTTAGTTTTATTCATTAATTTATTTAATTTTTAGGTGTATCAAGCCTGAAGAGAAGTCTCTTGGTATAGGATTACATGCATTTTCCACAAGAGCATTTGGTAAAAATAGTTATTTTTCCTAACATTATATTAGATCATTATTAAATACGAATTAAATTAAATTATTCTCTTAGAGTAATGGTCTAGTAAATACCCCATCTGCTTGTAAACAGCACTTTGTAAATAGTAGGAGAATGAAGTACAAGAAGAAATAGAGAACTTTCTTTTTTACTTGAAAATGTCCTATTTGACCTTAATTCTAGTTTTTATCTGTTAGATTTGAAAAGCAAATGAAGAGGAAATACTACGTTAAAATAAAATGTACACATGATTGGCCCAAAATATTGCAGAAAAAAGTATAAAGAATCATTAATTTAACGTTTTCTTCTATTAATAATTTTTATGTTGCATTCACCCATCGGATTATTTATCCTTTATAATATGGAAATTTTACAGTGAAAGTAATCTTTAATTTCTGAAAATAAAAGTTAAAGCATTAGATTTATATTTCATTAATCTTTATTCTACAAATAGAGAAAATTGAAATGTTTTCAAACAAAACAATGTATCTTAAGTCTCCTTTTTGATGGATTTTTCTTTCTTCCTTTTATTATAGCTGGAATTCCTGCACCTATATATTTTGGTGCTTTAATGGACTCCACATGTTTATACTGGGCAACTTTGAAATCTGGTGAGTCAGGGGCATGCAGGATATATGATTCCACCAACTTCAGGTAAAGACTTTTTTAAATAATTGTTTTCTTAGCATAAATTGCACATAAAATGGCACCATTAATGTCTAACATTTTCTTTGTCAAGTGACTAGCATACTTTTTGCTTTGTTTCCAGAATTGTTTATGATACTATATCTCCATTTTTAATTTATATACTAGATAATAAATGTTTATTTATATACTAGAATTTTATTTCCTCAATATTTTCAAAGTACGTGATAAATATAAGCATGGATGATTTCCTTAACCCACCCTTTCAAAGTGTTGTTTGTTAAATTGATTACAGTCAATACGTTATTGAAGTAATGGCTATACATCAGCTACCTCTCTAAATTATGTTAGTCTCTAAAGTATCCCCATTTCTCCTACATCATTTTAGAATCTTACTAGCCTCAGTCTTTACTTCCTTTCACCACTTCTGATCTATAAAATTATACTTGTTCTCTCTCATTAAATTTTGCTGACACAATATTCTTCATGTCTCTTTAAGGCTTATTTTTTGTTAATATAGATCTAATTTTGAACAAAACACATATGATAGCATTAATGTTTTTGAACAAAACTTTTCCATTTTTCTCTTTCTATTTCATGCTCTTTTTCATTCAGAGACCTGAATTTGGTTTAAATTTATATGAACATCTCATGATGGGGCAGTAAGAAAATTCTTTTATTTACCTAAAAACAATTTTTCATTGTTTAAAACATTCTAAGGTCTTATCTTGATCAGTAAAAGGGCTGTCAAGAACTGTGAAGAGAGCACTCAGCATGAGATTCATGTTTTCATTAGTTTCCCCTTTGCCTAAAGTTACACAGGGGTAAAGTGGAAGTGGGTCCAGGTAAACACTGCACATGCAATGGATTTGCATCATAGTTGAGGAACCCCGAGGATTACAAGTGTAGGTCGGCCTCATCCTGCTGCTTAGGTTTCTGTTGATAGTGGCCTTAATTAAATGTTGTTTCAGACAAAATAATTAAATTTGGTACCTTCTTTTGTCAGTCAGATACATTAGAATGGCCTGTCAAGTGTATTCATGAGAAAATTCACTGGAAACTAATATAGAAACAAGAGGTAGATATTGTTGGTAGTCAATTCTCCATGGGTCCCTAGAATTTCTGCATAGCTTGTTAGCAGATTTTTGTTCTGGACTATCTTCTCAAGGATGTTTGAACAGTACATGACCTTGGAAGATATAGATGATGTTTCCCTCTGGAGCAGAGTTTGCTGTCTGGGATGATAAAGATAAAATCTCCTTCTGGGCTAAGGTGGGCAGATTTGTTTGCAACCCATTTAAAAGATTGAGATTTCCTAAACTTTGGATTTCTTACCTGGGTCTTCTTCTGTGTCACCCCTTTGGGATTTGAGGATTAAAGAAAACTAACACGAACATGAACTTTGTGTTAACTGCTGCAATTACAGTAAAAAAGTCCTTTGTCACTGACCCTGGAGTCTTGTATCTTCTGTCGGCATCCATGCAGTTAGGGCAGGCTAACCTAGCATAAAATCCAGGTAAAATCTAGAACTCTTTTAGAGTTCTGGAGAACAGATATACTGATTAACTTTATATTTTGACAAAAATAAGAGGATAATCACTTAAATTTATTCCCATCTACTAGAAACAGAGAAAAATATTAAGAAAAATTCAATGGAATAAGAAATAGGAAAATAAAAGCACACACAATAAGTTGAAAAAATATGCCTAAATATACCAGGTTTCACAATAAATGTAAACCAATTAGACTCACTTTTAAGAGATAATGACTTCTATATTGGAGTTTTCAAAATTCTAGTTATATGTTGTTTACAAGAGACAGTCTAAAAAATATAATGCAAAGAAAGGTTGAAGACAGAGATCAGAAAAAATATACCTGGTGGATATTAAATCAAGTTTCCATTGTTATATTAATGACTGTGAGACAAAATAGAATTCAAAGTGAAAAAGATTAATGGAGATAAAGAAGATATATATAACAGTTATAAACCCATATAATTATATATTAACATAACCTCAAATATGCAAAACAAAAATTCACAAAACTACAAGAAAAAATTTACAGAGTTGAAAATTTTAACACACTTCTCCAACAAGTGAATATGAAATACAGACAAAAAATTAGTGAGGATACATAGTTGCACTACCAAATTATATGAGGGTTATCTCATAGATATATAGCAATTGTTTAACCCAACCATCAGAATATATATTCCTCTCAAGCCTAGAATAAACATTTATAACAATTTACCAGGTCCTATGCTGCAAAGAAAGCTTTTTAAAAATTCCAGGCAATGATACCATATAACCTGTTTTCTGTCCCTAATGCAGTGGAATTAGAAATCTATGAAAAAATGTTGCCAAACTTCACATGTTTGGAATTACTCATGGGTAAAAGAATAAATTATAATAAAATAGATAAGTAACTACAACTCTATGTCAATGAAAACATGGAATAGGAAAACTTACAAGATGAAGCTAAACCACTACTCAAAGGGATATTTTGAACTTTAAATATATATGTGTTCTTTAAAAAGAGTGACTACTAATAAATTCAAATTTAGAAAAAGACAACAAAGTAATTTAAAGTAAAACAACCTGATAAATGATTTAATAAGTTATATATTGATTTATTTCCTATCTCAAATAAACAATAGATACAATATATTTTTAAAATTCCAAAGGGACAAATTTAAGTTCAAAGATAATTATAAACATCATCCTGGACATCCTGTTTTCCTGAATCAAAAATTGATCAGTAACATAAAGAGAGTAAACAGATCTGAATTCAAAGGCTGAATGCAAAGTCTCTAAGTCTAGAAACAGACAGTGGTTTCTGGGAGATGAGCTTCCAAATGAAAAACAAAGTACTTCCAAGGACCCAAGAAACTAGATCTAGATTCAACACTTTAATCCAAGTGGTGGGGTAGAACACTCTTGGATTGGGTTGAGTAGTATCCCTCAAAATTTCATGTCCACCTATAACCTTAGAATATTTTATTTGGAAATAGGGTTTTTGCAAATGGACTCATTTAATTAACTTAAGATGAGGACATACTGGAGTAGAGTGGGCCCTAAAGCTATTCACTACTGCCCTTATAAGAAGAAGAAAGGAAACACAAAGACACAGACACACAGGGAAAACTGTCATGTGGTGACAGAGGTAGAGATTGCAGTGATGCATCTACAAACCAAGAAATTGTAAGGATTGCTGACAGTACCAGCTAGGAAGAGTGGAGGAAAGATTCTTTCCTGGAGCCTTCAGAGGACTCATGGTCCTGACAACATCTCAATTTCAGATTTCTAGCCTCCAGAATTGTAAGAGAATAAATTTCTGTTGTTTTAAGCCATTATGTTTGTGGTGCTTTGTTTCAGCAGCTCTAGGAAACTAATGCAAACCTCATTGTAAGAGATTAAAAATTACAAACAAACAAACAAACAAACAAACAAACAAAACTTTTGCAGATCATTGCTTTGTTACTGAGGAGGGAATAATACACAGTTACACTAAAAACTAAACCAAGTGACATGTTCCCACTGTGGTTATTCCCAGTATCACTATGAAAAATCATCCTTATGAGAACTAGGTTGACTTAGGGCCTGAGGAATTGAGGAAAGGAAAGGAAAATCTATCAGATTTGGAGGAGTAAATGCAAAGACACAGAGCAGGAAAAGAAAATGAAACCAACCAACCAACCAACCAACCACCACCAACAAAACACTCAAAAGGAGCTTGCAATCTAAAACTTAAAAATACGTGAATAAATCTAATAGTAAAAAAGATAAGCACATAAATTACCAACTGAAAGATGATTTCATTCCAGACTAAATTTAATGTAATATAAGAGTATGACAAAGGTTTTAAAGTAAGTATGCTTAACCAGCTCAATAGGATTAAAAAATAGTAAATGGTTGGCATTTACTATCTGTTAAAAATGAACAAGAAATGATGAAAGAAGTAACAAGCAGAAATAAGAATATCAAAAGAAACTTTAGAAATATTAGAGATTAAATGTATAGCATTGAGATAAAAAAGGAATTCTAAATATGTAATAAATTTCAAGTCAATGTGATTAAAATAAGAATTAGTGAACTGGAAGAGAGCACATAAGAATTTATCTAAAATATAAATTTTAAGAGAGACATGAATTTTCAGATGAAAAGTGCATTTCAGGACGTGGTTCCACAGTGTAGCGGTTAGCACAACTGCTTTGCATGCAGAAGGTCCTAGGTTCGGGCCCCAGTGGAGCCATGGTCCATGGTCTACGGCCACGCCACCCTGAACGAGCCCGATGTCTGATCTCGGAAGCTAAGTAAAATAATACTAATAATAATAATAATAATAATAATAATAATAAAGAAAAGTGCATATCAAATGTCTTGTAGAATAAATATAAACAGATCTATCAGAGTAAGATTAAAAATCCTCAAGGTAAAAAAAAACATTAAAATTACTCAGAGAAACATGCATATAGTTTACAAAAAAATAATTAGACCAATAGTAGATAAATCATCAGCAACAGATCTTAATATCTTTATGATCCTTATTGCTTTGGGTTCGGGTTGAAACAAAATCATAAACCAGAAAACAAGAAATGGGCAAATGTGGCTGCACATAAAATTTAAAATTTTATTTACGACAGACGATACCGTAGACAATGAAGAATATTAGAACACAAATTGGGAGCATAAGAACTCTCACACGCTGCTGGCAGTGAATAAAAGCCATGGAGAACTTTTGGGCTATATTTACTTAGTTCCATAACCTAAAACCTTTAGATAAACTCATTTTAGAGAAACTTGCTCATGTGCACAAGGAAACATGTAAAAGGAGGTTTATTGCAGTATCGGTATTAGAAAAAATTTGAACAATAAGTGTCTCATAGGAAACTAAATTAATAAATTGTTGTGTATTCATACATTGGAATATGGTGCAATAGTTAAAAATAAACAAAGTAGAACTACTTGTGTAAACGGTTTTTAAATGGGCTAAAATAGAAAATTTTAGAGTAAAACATTTAGCATTATGCCATTTATTTAAAATGTAAAAATATATAAAGTAATTGTATATATCAAGAATGTTTACATACACACTTTATAAAACTATAAAAATAAACTAAGAACAAACTTCATAAAATTCAACATAGTATTACATCTGGGATGGGTTAGAAGATAATCAAATAATAGGGGTACACAGAGGACTTAAATGTATTAGTATTTTCTTCTAAATTGGTCTAAAAATATAGCAATATTTAATTATTTAAAAAACCTGGGTGGTGAGTACAGACATGTTTAATTTTTTAATTTCCCTGTATTCTTAAAATGTTTCATAATAGAAAATTTTAGGAGTAGAAAGTTGAAAATAAAAAGCAGAAATGAATAGACTACATACCAAAAAAATAAAAAGCTATATTTTTTAAAATATTAAAATATAATAATAATGACAATTATCTGAAAAGGCAAGTAGAGAGGAGATACAAATAAACTATTAAGATTGAAAAATGGAATATAAATACAGTTACTTAGGGATTTTAGACATAATAATTTGTAAACATTACACGAGAACTTTCTAACCAAATATGTATTACCAAATTTTACTATAAACATATAAAAACATGAATATTTTTATAGCTATTCAAACTGAATTGGTCAAAATTCCCACTTTCTAAAAGCACCAAGTCCAGATGCTTCTAAGGCAAGTTTTACAAATCTTCAGTGAATTGATGATTCCCACATCATACAATTTACTCCAAGAAATGGAAAAAGAAGAAAAATTTTCCTCTATTTACAAAGCTAGCACAATCTTTATATCTACATTAGACAAGTTCAGTACAAAGAAAAAAGTATAGGCTGATTTTACTTATAAATATACATGGAAAAATCTTTTAAAAAATTAACAAATTTAATCTAATAATGTGGAAAAATTAACTGATAGAGTTTATTTTAGGCATGCAAAGATAATTCAACTTCAGAAAAAGCTATTAATGTAATATACCTTCTTAACATAATAACAAAAAATTCGGATCTTCTGCTAACTATGTGCAAAAATATGATTTGGTGATGTTTCACACATCAATAGTTAAGACTTTGACCAAACACAGAAGAGAAGAGAGGAACTTCTTTAACTTAATTAAGGTCATCTTAAAAATAACAAGAGTAAGTATCATTAATGGTGATTCTTTGGAATTATGCTTATTAAATACTGGAATAAAACTGCAATCACTGTCAATATCAAATTTAAGTTGGAAGTTCTATTCAATGTAAAAAAATAAAATACAAACAGTAGTAAAAGAATAGAAAAGAAGAAAATAAAAATGGATTTTCTAGGTGAAAAATTCTAAAAAAAACCATTTTAACGAACAATAAGAGAGTTTGGCAAAGTTGCTTATATATGACCAACATGCAAAACAATTAGCTGCTGTTGTTTTTATGGGAATAAAATATTAATAAAGATATGCAAAACTAGTTTATATTCACCACACTATGTGAGATTTAATGTGTTTTAATTTTTTCTTTTAATAGATACATCTACCTTGGACTGCCAATAGCCCTAAGAGGATTAGGCTTTATCCCAGCTCTTTTTATCCTAATTATTTTGAGGAAATATCGTCTACCTGGTAAAAATGCCTCTTCAGGAACTGTAGAGGCAAGAGTTATAAGGAAGGAAAATGAGTGCCAAGAAATGGACCAAATTTCCAAAGTTTTGAATAATGATGAATTGAAAACTAAACTGTAATGTTCTATTATATCATGCTTCCCAGAGTTGGAGAACACACTACAATTTAATTGTTTTAAAATCAATAGAGGTACTGCACATAACTTTTTCTTGTCTTTAAGAATCTCAAAAATATATATATATTTTTTACTTAAGATGAAAAAAAGTTCACTGATGGTATTTCTGAGACATCGATGGCATTAGAAGTTTTCCTCAGAGGGACATTTATAACAGCCCTCAAAACAGGATATCAGAGCCAAATTTATTTTTATGTTAAAATGATAATTTCTCTTATACATACCATAAGAGTATATTTCCCACTTCTCCTTTTCCAAATGATTCTAAAAATTTCCTCCTGTGAAATTTTTATTTAATTTCTATTTAATTCCATTGAATTTCTGCTTTGATATTGGTGTTATTCAGAGACAGAAATTTTCATCTTGCTTACGTAAATATTTAAGTATTATATTCAAATTTATTACTTCCAAGTTAAAGAAGTCTGTGTGTTTTTATTTGATTTAGAAATTGTTCTTTAACTTTTCCTATTCATTTCAGACATGACTCTTTCAAAATAGATTACTCATCACTTGCTTCCAATTCATTCCCCGCTTTATTACTCATGCTATATATTTCCTCATTTTGTTCAGAATACTGACAAACTTAATCAGGTTATTAAAAATCATGTAATAAAGATTGTTAGAATTTTTTTTCAGCAATTCAAACCTAGTGACTAAACTCTCTCTTAAAAACAAGAGTCTGAGCCAAAGGATAAAAGGGTGATATTAGAAAAACATTAGTCCTTAAAGGCTACTTGTAGTGAAGATATTGTCAAAGGAACACTTTCCCAGATTCAGGAGGCTTTCTTAGATCAATGTTTATGCCACGCACAGTGTCCTAAGTTAAAACACAAGCACTAATTCCATAAACCATCTTAAAGAATGAAGCTTTTAAGAAGCAGCTTTTTAAAAACTGAGGTTAATAAAATTTGAGATGCTCCTTTAAAACTAAATCTACTCACAGTATTATTTTATAACTTATAGATACAATACAAGAGATCTTATGAATGGTATGGAATTTTTGGTTCAAGATAATAGAATGAACAGCTCTGTTTATCTATTCTGTATTCTCCCTCTTTAGTCTTTATCACACTGAAATGATAGTAAATATATATAAAATGATATAAATCTCTAATGGTGAGGAGAATGAGGAAAGGAAGAATGGGAGACGAGGATGTCAATATACTATAGTTATTTATGTGTAACATAAAGAGAATGAGAGTGTGTCTAGGGATAGATTCGAGTGGAAGAAGCTGTCATCCAGAATGCACTTAGAAAGAGTTCCTAATGTAGGTAGGAACCTCTGGTTGCAAGCTCAAAGAATACTAGTTGGTAGGTGGACAGAAAATAGGCCACTTACTTGATGAACTGTCTATAGATATTTTTCAGACCAACATGATTTTCTCAGCAATTGGATGTGCCGTATGAGAAAAAAGCAACTCATGAGAAAGAACAAGTTTTTGGAGAAGAATTAAGAGTGAAGTTTTGGACTCATGTCACCTCTAGGACTATTAAAAATAACCATGATTCAAGACCAAGGGACAGTGTTGAAAGATGACAGGCGAGCTAAAATCTTCAGAAATGAAGAATGTAACTCAGAGTAAATATGATTGAAACATATAGAGCCCAATAACTTGAAGTCTGGAGCTGTTTTTTCTGGAGGGGAGAAAGTGAGGAGAATGGTCTGGAAGTTAAAATAAGGTTGTAAGAAAAAGTAAACAGCTACCACATAAGAAATTTTTGTGGAAAGCCGCACCCTCAGGAAAAACCAGGATTTGGTGCAGTGGTGAAGAGAATGCTCATTTATGAGTTTGAGAATGCAGATGGTTTTGATGATGAGGGACCCTAAGTTCCAGAGGACAAATGAAAGTGAGCAGATTTCAGAAAACGGTGTTTGAGAGGAAAAGGTAGATAATTGGAAGTGTATGGAAATCAGACTTATAGAAATTAGAAGAAAGACAATGAGAACTTGGAGTCCTGAAGCTTTTTGGGTGACTGACGTAAAGGGATCGGTTCTGATGCATTTTAAGGCGGAAAGTGCTGGTGAGACTGTGAGTGTCACATTTAAGAGGAGTCATGACTGGGCTCCTTCATGACCCCATGTTATAGATGCAAACAGGAGAAGCAGATTTTTACTTGAGTATCGTGGCCCTTTCTTGACATCTATTAGTAAACTGATCAGAGAAAGCTGAGCTTTGCTCTATTCACAGTTTACTCACTTGAATATTCTTGGTAGAGCATAGTAGGTCCAAAGACACATGATTTTTGACCTGGTCCCATGAGCCCATTCTTACCCACTACAGGGAAAGATAGCTTTTTACTCTGAGAACATAGGGTTCTCTCTTGATGATTCTTGATAGAGGAAAGAAGATCAGAGAAAGTGGGTATTGGAGTGCTTTGTGACCCCTCATGACCTCTGTTGTTAGAGTCCATGAGGCCTGGGGTGGTCTGTTCTTTTTCTCAGCACTTGTACTCCCTCATGACAGTGCAGAGGTGATGGCATAGAAGACAGAGAAGAAAAGAGAAACAGGAAAAAACAGGTAGTGGAGAGTCTAGGGTTACTAATTTTCTTATTTAATATTGTGAGTAGTCTAACTGAATGGAATTAGAAATAGTTTATTATTTATAATACTACAAGTAACCAATATTTACAGGAGCTTGAAAAATAAGAACTTAAAAAAACAGAAATCGGGAAAAGAAATGTAAATGGAAGGAGAGGGAATAACCATTCTTCATATTTTATAGCATAAAGTTTAAAAATATATTTTAAACTTGATCAATTAAGATAAAATTTACAAACATGTTTGAATTGTTTCAAAGTGGTTGCCTCTGTGACATTGGATTATCATGAGGAGGAGCAAAAAACAATACATTTATCTTTCATTTCAGTTCCTTTGTACTCCGATTTTTTTGCCCTCGTGCATGTAACACATGATTAAAAATAATGTTTCATAAAGAATAACACATCAGCAAAGGCAATGCATTTTACAGAAAGAGATGAAATCGAGTCCTCCAATTATAAGAGGTGTTGAGGCTCTCCAGTGGGTGTTTATTGAACAATTGTTTTCTCATTGCTATTCTTGGTTCTAGAGAATATTTGTGTTGGTGTGTGCTTGTGAGGGATATGATAACTAAGTTGTAGGCTGTAGAACTGAAGGAGAATTCAAGTGGTGTCATTTTATTAGGGTGAGTAAATTTACATAGAAAGTAATGCAGAACATCAAATAACAGTACAAGGTAACTTTAAACACTGTGGATATGTGGTGAGTCACTAAGGAATCAGAATTTTTACATAAGCTTCCTATTCAGGTCTTGGTGGGAAATGATGACTCTGGATTGACGGAGAGAAAGAAAAACATTCAGTTCTTATTGACAGACAGTAGAAGCAAATTTAAGAATATCTCCTTTGTTACTGGCTACAGTTACAGCGATTACAGTATTACTCGATGAGATATTGGCAGAAGTTTGCTAATTGGGAAGGGATTTTTTTTTTTCCTAAAATAAAAAGAAAGCTTTCGAAGAAGACATTTGCCCTTTTCCTTTTTCCTTCCTAAACCATGGATATTGGGCCTTGTGGAGCAGTAAGGAGTCATCTTGCAACCAAAAGGCGAGAAGCATAGAGATGAAAGGCGACAGTTGAAGGATGGTGGAGCAGGAACACAGCGAGAGCCTGGCTTCCGGATGCAGCACTGAGCACGTGCACCGGCAGGGGCGGGGCTAACTTTTGTGGAGGGAAACTTAAATTTGAGAAGAGGGCCTCTATAAGAAAATATTTTAAATTATGAATATACAATGAGATTAAAAAGTAAATACTTAGAATGAGTAGAAAAATCACAAATTTCCATGTGATATGCTTCAGGATACAATCATGGTTTAAAAACCCTAATGCAAACATTATAATTAAATGGAAAATAGTAAAGTTTCCCTGCTGATATTGGAAGTGAGACGATAATGCCTGCTATCACCATTTCTATCCAATATCATATCATAGCCAGGGAAACAGGGGAAGAAAAAGAATTAAAATTTGTAAGGATAAGGAAGGAAAAATATAACTAGCAGTGACATGTTTATATGCAGAAAATCCAAAAGTTACTACAGATTTAATTACTATCAAAATTAATAAGTGAATTTTAATAAAGTTCACTGTATAAAAGGGTAATACATAAAATCAAATGTAGTTTTTCATATGTCAAAAGCAATTAGGAAATTATATTAGCAAGGAGTACCATTTAGTGTAGCATCAAAAAAAGAAAAACACATTGAAATCCTAGCACTAAATCCCGTAACAAGTGTCTAAGACTACTGCCTCAACTATAAAACAGTTCAGAGAAATTAAGACATATATCACATTTACTGATTCAAAGGTTTAATATTGTAAGGATGTCAGATCTCTCAAAATTTATCTATAAATTCAGTGAAATCTCAAACAAAATTCTAGTACTTTTTGAAATGTAGATATTGACAAGATTATTTTGGCCTCTAGATGTCAAGCTTGGTAAATTAAAAAACTAGCCCTTACTAACATCATATTTTGATAACTAAATGAAATGAAAGCAATAGAAGTTACGAAGAGGAGGAGGAGGAGGAGGAGGGAGACAGAGACAGAGATTCCCATCAGCAATGATGTACTGTGCTAAATTCCTTAGAATGGCTAATATGGGGGAAAGATATTTATGTGGCTTCAATATGAGTTAGAAAACCTCATTCTTTTCATAATTCTGTAAGTTTCCTTAAAATCTGGGAGAAAAGTCACTTGCAGATCTAGTATAGTATACAACAAATAACTTCTAACAAATTTGCCACATTGAAAATGTTCTTGTAGTCAGTCCGAATATCAAATGTATTTGCAAGACTATACCTTTTCTTCTACTTTCATTCTTAATATTATTCATAATTTTCTTTATTAGCTATTTAGGACCTCATATTAAAGAAAGAACCATAAGAATATGGGAAATATTGCTAAAAGAACATCATAGAACTCTTTATGCACAGGTACTAGGGATAAATCTTTGGGTAAAAAATTCCAAGTTAACAAAACAAGACCTACCATTTTGAAAAAACTTCTGATCTTTAAAAAATCAACAGAGAAGATAAAAGGAAACAAAATAAAAACCTTCTTGCCTGATGACTCGGGCCTATGAAATGAAAGGTACAGTTCAGAATGATAGATGTGCTAAGAATTGTTTACAAATTGATAATTTACTAGTTACTGGAGAACCTATTGACTAGAATCAGGTGGGAGAAAGGAAGAGAAGTGCTCTCAAATAATTCAAATAGGTCTTAAAAGTTCTTAAAGGTAATTGAAATAGATTTTCTTTCACATCAAAGGAATAAAAGTGAGACTCCTGGTTTCAACTCAAACATGCAGAGAGAAGGAAACAGTATTCCACCTACACGCTTATACTTAGAAAAAGCTGGATAAAATGCAAATTACGACTTTTCTTGAACCTATCAATGATCTGAGGTTATTGGGCAAAGAGTTAACAGGGCATCTGGAGAGAGAGGCTCCTGCAGGGAGAAACAAGATTTGAACATTTATTTACTTGGGGCAGAAGCCACCCAATGCCACTTATGTCAGTTAAATGATTCAGCTAGAAATTTGCAAAGACCAGGTGTAAGTAGGCATGAGAAAATGAAGCCTCAGAAGGCTGCATACAAAGGTGAGATTACGCCTCTTGCAGGTGATTCCCCCAGGACCCACACCAGACACCCTCAAAGAAGATCAGAGGGAATCTGGAGAGAGCACTCTTGGTGCTGGCAGGGAGGAGGGTGGTGAAGAATAGCAGCGACTGTTCGAGTTCAGTCTCCCTTTCTTCCCTAAGGAACAAAATCCTTTCTCCAGTGAGGAAGGGCAACCCAAACTGTAGGGCCTTGTTGAAAAATCCTGCCACTGGGAAGGGATGCAAGAAACAAAAGTTCCTCTTCTGGGGGAGGGGCAGGGCACCCCCAAGACCCAGGTTCACAGAGCCTGCTTAAGTCCCCCTCCTCCACCCCTTCCCCCAACCGTGGTAACAAGCATCTAGCAAATACAAGAATGGACTATATAGCATTAATAATTTGGCTAGGTGGAGGGTCAGGAGAGGGAGGGAGCAAATGGGGGGATCGTTTTATGAACTATATAGATGTCTAACCAATGTACCATATACTTGAAACTAATTAAAATAAATAAATTTAAAAAAGGAGAATGGACTATAGTTGGGAGAGCTGTAAGAGAGATTGTTTCTGGGTAACAGGACAAAAGGAAGAATAAAATCCAAGTAGAGAGCAGACCCTAGATACAAAGTTTCCCCAGAGGAATTCGAAGCTCTGGAGGCACAGAGGGTAACCATAGCAGCAATAAACTTCAAACCCAGCCTTACTCCTGATACAAATCCACACTATAGGCCTAGAAGAAGGAAAAATGAGCTTAGCTCCAAGTATAAAAAACATTTACCTCAGTATCGATTGTCCTATACTCCATTTATGGTCTTCAACAGAAAATTCTAAGACATAAAAAGGCAATAGAAAATAGTGTGGGTAGACAAAGCAATTATCAGGGCTAAACTCTCTCTCTCTCTCTCTCTCTCTCTCTCTCTCTCTTTTTTTTAAAGACCAGTATTACAGTACTGATCCTGGCTTTTTTTTTTTAAGGCAAGGCAACCCTTGGTTGACCTCACAGATTGCAAGGACCTCATCAGTTTACAATCCCTTATTTTTTATAATTTTTTATGCCTACGGTACCTGGTTTTCCTAAGTGGTCTCCAATCCAAGTACTAACCAGGCCTAACCCTGCTTAGCTTCTGAGATCAGATGGGATCAGACTTGTTCAGGGTAGCGTGGCTGTAGACAGGGCTAAACTCTAGATATGAAACAGATTACTTGATAAATTATTAGACAGAATTATTAAACAAATGAAGACTTTTTAATAAACATGGCTCAAAGGAACATTTTTGCAGAAGATTTAAATGTATAGAATCATTATTATTAAGATGAGGCCTAAATAAAATGATGAGTAGAAGACAAAAATCTTTTTGAGTTTTTAGTGTTTATTATCTCATGTTTCTGTGACCTTTCTCTTCTTCTCTGCACATTTTCTCTTCCTCTCATGTTCTCCATTTGTACTCCTATCAAAAACCTATTTCTTAAAAATGATTGGAATCTCATATGGTCATATATGCTCTCTTCCAATTTAAATAAAGACAAAGTCTTCAAAGGGATAAACTTCCAATGATGGAACTTGGGGCAACATCAATTTTAATAGTGGAGGTTGGTTGAGGGTGAGAGGTGAGTCTACGGGTTAATGGTCAAGAATGCTTTAAGATGTTGCTAAAATTACACTGCTTATGTTGCAATCATCTCATCAAGTTGATTCTTGAGTTCCAGAGGGTAAGCACTGTCTATTGAGAAAGGGTAGAAGGCACACAGAGTAAAGTAACAATGACCACTGCCAAATTTGTTATAATTAATTCTTAATCATTTTGTTTTGGTAAAATCTCCAGTAATACATATGTTGAAATTGAAACAAAGAGATTACCATGGTCCCCGTGAATGAGAGACTTGAACATTTTTTATTCTATTACGGAATTTATTATAGTATATGTTATCATGTTTACATGCCTACTTTCCCATCTCATTTATGGGCTCCCAAGGGGCAAAAGTTCTATTTCATAAATGTTTTTTTATCTCCTGGGCTTAGCCTATAAATGGCACTCAAAAGATACTTTTTTGACATTTAAAAATTTTTTTGTTTGTTTTAAAATATTAAAGTCTTTAAAACATCTGAAACCATCACTCCATATCCAATGACCTTAATGCAGCTAGCTATTTTTATTTTTGCATGTTTCTTTTAGTTCTTATTTATGACATTATTTAATAAGACTGACATTTTTTAACTTCATACATTCATTCATTCATTCATTCAAAAATAATTGATAAAGCACCTATTGTGTGTAACACACCAAGATAGAGGCTGGGAATAAAATAGACAGGTAAAATGAGTTTAATTCCTACCTTCCTATAGTATAACTAGTAGAGGAGACAGATACTTATCACATAATCACAAATAAATGTAAAATTATCATTTGATAAGTGCTAACTTGCTACAAATATAATTGGAAGATTTTTGAGTAGTGAAGTCAGAGACATTGAAGAAATGTGATAAAGCTAGATCTCAACGCTGAGAAGCAGTTAATTAGGTGGAAATAGCATTTCAGGATGAAGAAACATCAGAGTCAAAGGCTCCATTGCATGAAAATGGATAGGAGTGTGAAGAAACTTCAGTCTGTATACTCAAGTCTTTCTTCATAGTGGAAAGGCATTCTTCCCCTAAATCTTTGATTAACACTTCCTTTCCATATCTAATTTCTTCTTTAAAAATATCAAATTTCTTAGGTTGGTGCCTTAATTTGTTCTCTTAACCATCTATCTTCTTTTATAATTTGCTTCTTTATCTTTTTCTTCCATGTTTTGACAGATTTTCAAATGTAACTTCCTCATCATTGATCTGTTTTTTTGACCATTCTCTTCTTTTAACCTCATCCAATACATATTTTAATTACATTCTTGCATTATTTTCATTTCTTGCAAGCTTCCTTTATCTTATTCATATCTATTGAATTTTTCCTCTTTTTTCTCCTAAGATTCCTGTTTAAGAAATGCTATTGAATTAAATATTAATATGTTTATTCTTGATTCTTGGATTCTGAAGTAGAACAAATAATCTGAAGTATATGTTTTAATGTTCCTTTCTCTCACTGTACATATCATATTTAGAAATGATAAATTTATCTTTTTAATTTATATTATTTTATTATTTTATAATTTAATTTTATTATTGTCCTTCCCCTCGAAAGTGTAAGCTTCACGAAGCAATATCCCTCTTTGTTTTTGTTTACTATTATACTTAATTTTGTCTGACAGATATTCGACACTCAAAAATTATTGAATAAATAAACATTCAAAACATTGCTTTTATTTTCTTTGTTTTAAAAAAAAGAGCTTCATAATTTTTCTGTTTATTTTTACTGAGACAAGATGCCATCAGACTTGTTATTTACCAATCTAGCAAGGAGGGTGGTCTTTTGAAATTGCTGCCTCTGTGATTAATGAATCTTTTCTCAAGTCTACGACTTGAGAATAGGTTGCTATATATAACTTTTAGTCCAGTTCCTGATTCTGGCAAGCTTTCATGTCGTATGACTTTGCTATACTCGGGAATATCTTCTATCCTGCAGTTTGGTTTTTTGTATCTCTTCATCAAGGACTCTATATAGATTTTTTAAAAGGCGATGTCCACAGATTTAACATCACAAATGCTTTGAATCAGAATCTCTATGGTGAGTATAAGATTGGAGTATTCAAAAAATTTTTTCGCAGGTGATTCTGGTACCCCCCCAACAATTTATTTTAACCTATCAGAATAAACTCTATAATTTCTAGCATTCACAATAACAATGCTGCTGTCACTAGCAAATTCAGTATTTAAATATTTGTACTCTATCACTCTATTTGTTGTCCTACTTGCAGGGATGTGAAAGATATATCTTTGTGCACAAAACAAACAAACAAACAAATAAACATGCAAAAAAACTATGTAATTGAGAGACAGCTCATAAATGATCTGATATGGACTTCACTTCTTCCAGGAGCAGACATGAAATGAAGACACATCTTTGAAATGGGCTTTGCTTTCTCAAGTTTATGTCAGTTTTTCTTAATCCTTTTCCATGGATTTATATTAAGTTATTTACATGGGCCCTAAAGAAACTTAAAATACATTCTGTAATATGTTGTCTGATAATCATAGCTTGCAAATTTTTGATTATTGCTATATCTTCAGCAGTATTTTAATGAGAGATTGGAAGAAGTTGCATCAGGGGTTGCTAGATAAATTCAATTTTAAATTATAAATGATAAGGTTTGAGAAATATATGACTTAATACACGAATGACAAATGTCATGACAATATAAATGCTCCATCATACTAGACTTCAGGCTTGAGTAACTGGTCTCGACTTTTTTTTTTAATCTTAAGATTTTTTTTTTTAAATTTAGGCTATTAATTTCTGCTCCCCCCTTTCATCTCTACCTAGTCACTGATTTTATTGTTTTATTGAGTTATGTTGCCTGAGCAAATATTTTTTCTTCTATTACATACTAATCTCACTTTAAATTTATATGGATCATATGTTCTAATCTTAACCACAAATACATAGCCTCATGCTAACAATGAGTACTTCTATTCCTTTTTGTTTATAGTTTGTTTCATTATTATAAATTCATAGGTAATTTATTGTTCCATCACATGTAAAGAGTATGGGAATTATCAGCAAAAGAATCGGAAAATGCTCAGAAATGACATCCTACTGAATGTACACACTGTTGATTGGAAACACAGCAACAGGATTTTTTTTCCCTCCCCTCACATGTGTGTTTCACTATCTGCTCTGGCAGGAGGTATGCAACGTCCATAATTATTTAAGAATTTTAAGTTTTCTTCATTCACAGTTTTTCTTCCATTTTCTGATACCTTGGTATCTTTTCCTTGATATTTTTTCTTCATAGCATAAATAAATGCGATAAACAAAATAACTGTTAACAACTTAGTGCTCCCAATCAAGCCCCAGAAGCTGTACCTGTGAAAAGAGAAAGTCAATTTTCATTTTAAATTGTATGACATAATTTACAGAGCTCCTCTCCAGTATGCAGAAGACCTTAAAAAATTGTTAGAAATTATACATAAAAATATTAAGGCAGCAATTCTAATGATTCTTTTTGTTGGTGCATAAGGAGTTTTTGATTATTTTTAATGGAACATTAAGCAGAATATTTTAAACAGAAACTAAGAGTGGTTAATGATCTACCCAAGTGCTTTCTATAAAAAAAGGTGTATTTGGAATGGTTAACTTTCTCTGAGGCAGATTAATTCATGTGTAGTGCGACAGATTATAAAGAGAATGAATTGACTGAGATAACCAAATTGAATGCATTTAGATTGAACCAAGAGCCAACGTTTAGCTTATAGGCTGAATGCAGTCTGAAAGGCCCTGCAGCATGGCCTACTGGAAGTATTTAACAAAACCACACAAAACAATCTAGCACGCAAGGTCTATTCCTGTGAGTCTCAATTAAAATAAAATCACCTGAGGAACAAACAAACAAAAAGTCACCTGAAGAGATTTAAAAAGTTTCATGCTCAGGCCGCACCCCTTGATGAATTAAATCAAAATCTCTACAGGTAGGACACAGAAATTAGTATTTTTTTAAAGCTCTTCAGATGATTATAAAGACCAGGAAAAACTGATGACAATTAACATGGTAGGTTAGGAAGCACTCACTGGCTTCACGACATTGTTAACTAAATGTCGACAAGCTTTATGCAAAAAATATTTTGAACAATCAGGTTTAATTGAAGGTGAATGGAATCAATTATATAATTTTGACCTGTTTAAACTTAAGTTTATTTCAATTTTAATCTTCAGTGGGATCTTGTGGTATACCAAATAAAATGAAAGAAATATTTTAAAAGTCTTCAAGTATATTTGCCTCATGCTTGGGTTATGTCAAGTAGTAATACACTAATGTTGAACTTTTAAAAAATTCCATTGCTATCCAGAAAATTAATATAGGTTTCTGGTTAGGTGACTATTGCTGAGAAAACTTGAAGAAGTTGGGTTTAGATTTAGGACTTATATCATAATATAGATTTCTATTCTTTGGATTAGGAATTGATGATATTTGTCTTGCTAGATAAAATCAATGAATGATTATCTGGTTATTATCTCTACATAATAAATCTAAAAAAGTCACAGGATAACGATTGAACTATTTTTATGTATTCATTGGTGAGTGCACCACTTTTATTAAAAAAAAAATCTTCTTTTGAAAATAATTTGGCAATTATTTTGCAAAGAACTTTTTAAAATG